AGTCGACATGCTGAGGCAACAGCGGGTGCTCAGGGAGTAGCAGCTTCTCATGCACAAGGAGCTGCATCAAAATCTAGAGCAGGTGCCAAAAAATTTGCAACGCTGGGAGACCTTGGCTCGGGGGACGGTGGAGGCCCTCCTTCTCATGATTATGATGACGATGAACCTCAAGATCTCTTTGCTGGAGGTGAGAAATCTGGGCTTGCGGTCCAGAATCCAGACGATATCAAGCGAAAAATTATCGAAAAGGCTAAGAAGTACGAACTCCCCTTTTCTAAGCAGCCCTGACATTTGTTGCTAACAATGCTGTAGGGCAATGCCGCCTGTCGAACGTAACCCAACCCCTGCAAAATCGCATTTTACCGGAACTGCTCGCACCCTCGGGGGAGATGACACTCCCAGTCGGATCATTGAAGATCCCAATGCGAATCAGCCGCAGCCGCTCGAGCGCGTACATAGAACTCTCCACTTTTGGAACGATGGGTTTTCAGTTGATGATGGTGACCTATACCGATCCTCCGATCCTAAGAATGCACAGATACTAGAGGGCATCCGACAGGGACGCGCTCCACTCTCCATCATGAATGTTCAGGTTGGGCAGGATGTAGATGTCCAAGTAAAACAACATGATTCAGACTACGTGAGACCTAAGGGGAAGTTTAAGGCCTTTTCCGGATCCGGTCAACGACTCGGTAGCCCAACTCCCGGTGTGGTGTCTGCAGCATCAGCAGCTGTACCGCCAGCAGCGCCTGCTCCGGCTGAGGCTAGTACAGGTCCTGAGCAGCCAAAGATCGACGAGTCCCAACCTACGGTTACCCTCCAAATCAGACTGGGTGATGGCACACGGTTAACCAGCCGGTTTAACACCACGCATACTATTGGTGACGTGTATCAGTTCGTGGCGGCAGCTAGTCCGGTCAGCCAACAGCGAGAATGGGTTCTTATGACAACTTTCCCGAGTACAGAGCTCAATGACCGCTCTGCCATCCTCGGAGACCTCAAGGAGTACAAGCGCGGCGGCGTCGTGGTTCAAAAATGGACTTAGATACCTATTAGGCAAAGCGTTGTTGTTGATATCTGTCTAGATAGAGAGGAATAGTCTTCATCCAAAGATCTCTCTGGCCTTAGAAGGGATGAAATAATGGCCATCAACTAATTTATGGATACATGTTCTTATCAGTAGACAAAAATAGCACCTGCCCGCTTAATAATCCAGTTGGAAGCTTGATAAGCCAAACTTCTATCAAAAAGATTCAAAGAAACCCGAAAATCTTGAAAGATTCTTCATGTTGTTATATGCTGAAAACACTGTTTACCTCCAGATATATGTCTACTTAAGGCGATAATTCATCATGCCGCTAGATGGTGTCAAAAATATACTCCTGGTACGTTTGCCCCGCGAAATTGCAGCTTATCGATAGCAAAGATGAGCCCGCATCAAGTCATGGATCACGGCAACAAAGCTCTGGAGAGCCAAATCTCTTTGAGCCTATGATATTACTATTCCAAATACTCGCTGACGTGCGGCTTGTCTTGTAGGTTCTCTCCGGGAAAGGTGGAGTGGGAAAGTCCTCCGTCACACTCCAGCTTGCGCTCTCTCTCACACTCCGAGGACGGTCGGTTTGCATATTGGACATTGATCTTACAGGACCTTCGATGCCGCGGCTGGTAGGCAAGGAAAATGCAAAAATAGTACAAGCTTCAGGCGGCTGGGTTCCTGTGAGCGTATATCCTGCTTCAGACTCGGACACTACCACACCTGCACCTATACCTTCGACAGATAACCCAGAAGGGAACGACAACAGCATAGCTCGCCCCTATGGGTCCCTACGGTGTATGTCCTTGGGATTTCTACTGCGAGATAGGGGCGATGCTGTGATATGGCGAGGGCCAAAAAAAACGGCCATGATCCGCCAGTTTTTATCAGACGTCATATGGGGAGATACGGATTATCTACTGATAGATACTCCTCCAGGAACAAGTGATGAACATATCGCAATCGCCGAGCAACTACTAAGTCAAGCTACGACGTCCCCCACCTCAGGATCAACACAGCCGCGCCTCGCTGGTGCCGTATTAGTCACTACTCCTCAAGCTGTAGCTATATCCGACGTGCGAAAGGGAGTCAATTTCTGTGCAAAGACGAACATTCCGGTCCTTGGTGTGGTTGAGAATATGTCTGGATATACGTGTCCTTGTTGCGGGGAGGTGAGCAACGTTTTCTCCAAGGGTGGAGGGAAGGTGATGGCTGATGATATGGGCATACGCTTTCTGGGAGCTGTCCCGATTGATGTGAGTTTCGGGGAGATGGTTGAGGGCTCTCGTTCGGATTCAGATGAGAATAATGAGGAGCAGAAGGCAGAAAAATTAGAGACGATTGGTAGTCAGCCTCAGGAAAGCCCGTTGGTTGAAAGATATCAAAAATGTTGGTCCCAGCCGACTTTTGAAAACCTTGCGAAAGAGGTCATTCAGCTGGTGGAAACAACTTGAACAATCCACAGCATGATATGGCCTTCAGTTTAATAGAAGAGCTTTGGAGTTTGGGCAAGCTGGAGTTTGGGATGAGGGCAAAGTGTCAATTTATATCTCCGTTGGGGTCATTCGAAGCTATGTATACAACAGAGGAAATGAAATGACTAATTATCATGAAATTATTGTGAAAATGACTTATTAAATACCCAAATTACAACCACAAGTGATATTGTCAAACCATAAAAGGGTAAAATGCCCCATAGAGTCAAGGTTATATCTGGATCCACACCCGACTCTAAATTGAGAATATGGCTTCTTTGAGGCAGCGCATCTTATCTTTTCGGATGATGGGGTTTAGTGAGCATTGGTCCTTTCCTATTTAGTTTCCATCATACGTCCGGACAGGTTTCCGGATATATAGAAGAGAAACATGATTCGGAGGAGTCAGTCGTAGTGGATATCTGCCGTTTATGAGCAAGAACACCTATGTAAAGCCGTGCTGCTACTCCATTCGTGAGAGCTACACTGCCAGTTCACAACTTGCCATCTAGTTTGCAGCACGCTTCCGTTACACCCCCTGGGTTCAACCAGTTAAAATATACTGAGGTGCCCTCGGTGGAATTCAGAACCGAGAACCGAGACCCGAGAAAACAAGAATTCAGATACAGTGGCTAGTTACCAGTATCCACAGGATATAGGTATTCGCATCACTAGTACCAGGTTTGCCATCACCTTGCTGCAAGCTCTTGCGTACCTTAGAATAGAGCGCTGAAAGGTAGCTCTTATAGGTGGCTTGTAGCGAAGGTAATCGTCTGAGGGCAGACGCTTCAGTACCCAGTACTAAGCTCCACGCCTGGCCTATGTCCAACTGGATAACGTCCGAGTTACTATGTATAGTGAAGCAACTTAGTCTAACGGAGTCAAAAAGTGTTTTTCATGCTTTCTCTGCACGCCGCAAAAACTCTGGCTGATGTGCCGAAAGTAGTTTAGTCAGGGGAGCGATAGCTGACTCAGTGATTTAACTAGTGGGACCGCGCCAACAGCAACCAATAAGGGAATTTTATATTGATGACTAACTAATATAGACTCTGTCGGAAGTTAAATGGTTCCACCTACTGCCGCCAGATATTTACTTCCGACAAGAGTCCTGCGTTTCGGACACGACGGCAATAAATGGAATGATAATCATGTCTTCAAAATCTTCAACAAGTCCAACACCAACGGATGTGAAAGAGCCTGTTATATGATACTGATGATGCTAGCTAGGCTATTCTATCGGACAAACAAATAAATATGAAAGTTCAAACAAAGGAAAAGAATACCCGATGGATGGCAGGGTACCCGTCGTCGACGGCTATCACTGACGAGTCAATAAGTTGCTTATACCACCGTGCCGTTGGAGGTCCAGTTACGAATCCGGGGATAACGGTTCGGTTCTCCGGCAGGGGAAACACTGGATGCCGTCTTTATGTTATTAGCCTTTGAACCAAAGACAACCCTCTGGGCTTTCTCTCACCTGCGGTAGGCTCTCTTTTCCATTTTCTATCTATATGAGAAGCAAACGCACAAATTCATTTTGGGTCCTCGAGTTACCGTATCGAGATATCTCTGCGTTGGTTCCGGTATCATGTCCGCCCTGGGCTATAGTGTGACTGAAATGGCAGTCTCTCTGACGTTGAGAATGGGATAGAAATGAAATCAAGGCACTGTTCAAGTGTTCAGGTATAATCTCCAGACCTTTTCAGTATCAAGAATTACCTATTTGGCTCAAGAGCGGGTGTTATTAAAGCACCCTAACATAATGATTCAAGATCTCGATTGTCTAAAAGTTACATCATCCGGGCCCAAGAATCCCCATGCACTGAAACCTGAATGCGTTGTTTTATCGGATTTTCACTGTGCCTCCGCATTCGACATCAAACTAATATCAGAATATCTAGAAATAGAACGGCTTGGTACATATCTGACCAGTTAACTAATCAAGTGAGAGCCCTGAAGTTGGCTCATTACCTACCTAGCAGTTACCTGGAACACGGCCAAGCGCTTTGTTTGCGCTATGGATACGAACCAATCCGGGTTGAATATGACAAACGCCATAACAAAGGCATATGGAGGCTTGGGTAAGGCACAGTTCTTGGAAGGGATAACAAAACAAAACCAACAGTTAGGAAAGCGTCATGATTGGGCCATGGTTCACATACCCTGATGTGTGGTTAGGGCAAAAAGCTCCGCTGCGCCTTATACCCAAGGCTGTGAGCCATTTCTAGTAGTTATAGTGTGTTGCGGGCATGAATATGATGCAACGAAAATACTGTACTTAGCAGAGGGTACAATGATGCCCTCTCAAGTCCTGGGTAGGTAGGTACTTAGATATGCCTCAAGTGATAAATAACTCCCGCCTCGCACTATTGGAGACGGGCATTTTTATATTCAATTACGAACGAGCCTGTAGTTTTCTACTGTCCAGAGTTCCCCTCTAAACAATCGCTTTTACTTCAGATTTAAGTCATTCCCTCCCAAAGGCAATGATGCCTCGTCTCAAAACATCAACCATCGCCCTTCTCCTACCCCTGCTCTTCTCTCCCGTTATCGCAGAAGATGTCAAGCTAGTGGGCTGTGATGCTGTCGGGTGCCCCCCGCACTATGATAGCGATCGCTGCACCGTTGAAAATACCACCTTCATAGGAGTCGGGGTGTCCCCTATCCCGGATGTTCCCTCAGAACTAAAAGGCTTCTCCCTTGTCAAGGCTGTCAACGTCTCGGCCACACCGGTCCAGTTTAACGGCTCGCGAGTACGTCCCATCAGGTCGTTTTACTCCCTAGGCACCCCGGAGCACACAGAGACGAACAGCCTCTCTGGCTGTGCAGTTATCTTCAACGATCCACCAGCCAACAAGTTCACGCCCCCTAGTGGGGCCGATACCTTCGCTGCCACTGGGACCTGCGCCGATGTTATTCAGCAAAAGTGCATTGATACAATCACGCAGCGAGCTAGGAATGCAGCCAACCGGGCCGGGGGTAATGCCAATGCCTGTAACGCGCTCGAGCAAGAATTGAAGAAGGATGATTTTAGCGGATGCTCCTTATTCGGGGGCCACGGTACCTCCCTCGGAAACTTCACTATCAAGTCAATTGGGAACCTCCATGCTGCCAGAAACTCTTCGGATTGCTGGCCCGTGCAGCAGAAGTCGGATGGGCTAATGCAGATCGCCGAGGTGACTTCAAATGTAAGCTGAGATGATGGGACCGAATTTTATAAAAATAAGCCGCATGGCGCTAATTAGTTAACTTTATTAACCGCAGGGGTCCTCCTCGAGAGCCGAGGATTTCTTCAGTGAGGCCTACAAGATCACCCCGGTCGTGACTGTGTTCCTTGGTGGAAACAATCGTAGTCTTGTCCACAATGCTACATCCCAAATGACGTGTCTGAAGATGGTTAGCCACAGACACTACCCGTACAGTGAGGATTCCGCGGCTGCCCTAAGGGGAGGCTGGTTAGCTGTGACTATCGCCACACTCATAGGGATTGTCGTAATGTAATCGCAGTCTAACTATTTTAAATGGTTAGTAAAGTCCAGCTTCGAAAGGCTGTCTCTATATTTTGTTGGAGGATTGAAGGGCCTCCTTATTTTTACTATAATAGACACAGGATCTTGCTTGGGCTGTGAGGCCGATCTCGACCAGCTAGTTACCAGCAGTTACCGGCTGTGACGGCCCAGCTATTAACTACATGCCACTTGTGACGCGCTAAACAAAAAACAACTAATTCCATTATTGATTTAAATACACATTCTGACATACAGAAGTTGGTTTGTATACCACATATGCCAGAGTACAGAGTATAGATAGGTAAATAGAGTCGTGATAATCGTGAAATTGTCGTTATTCCGCTTCGTGAATCGTGACATGTCGACCATAAGGAAAAGCAAGCTTGTATGGCATGACTTCAATCATCAGGGAGGTGGCTAAGCCGAGCATTTTGTTTCTCTAAAACATCTCGTAGCTTTTCCTGTGCAGATACAAGCGATGTGACCTCTTGGCTGGGTTTACCATGAGCGCGACTCATTTTCCCAACCCAGCTGAGGAACCCTTGCAATTCATCCAGAACGGAGGATTTCCTAGAGTGGGATTTTTGCTTGTGTCCATTGATATGTGGAAGTTCATCGTAGTTTGGAATGTCCACTATCGCGCCAGTCGAAGGCCACGGCCTGTCTGGCTCAGTCAAGTGATAAGACCTATCGGCCTGGGCGTCTAGATGGACAGCAGATATAACAGGACGTGTCATCATTGACTGTCCAGTAGCATTGTAATCACCGCTTTCAAGACAAGTGTCAAGAGCCCAAGGAAGATACGGTAGCCTCCCTTTATCTACCGGATGATTGTTGCGGGCTGAAGGAACGGTCTCTTCATGAGTAGGGGCCAATTCTCTTCTTACGGTGTGCCTGTGAGATTCGGCCTGCTGCTGTGCCGTATTTGTCTCAGCCCATGCCTGAGGAAGTGAATTGCGGAAATCAAAGAGACCCGTTGGCCGGGGTATTGGATTGAGGTAGTCGTAGGTGGACGAATACCGACCATGCCCATCCACAGTGCTGATATCGTCACCCACGACCAAGACATTGTCGTCTGCCAGCCTCTCCGTGCTAGAGCTTGCCTCTTCCACTGTTAAAAGGCCGTGATCACTCGTTCGTGCAGGTGCTCTGATTTCACCCAGAGGCGGCCTATGGCTCCCGTATTCATTTGCAAGACTTAGCTTGCTTCGGCCGCATATCTCGGCTATAGCATCCAAAGTCACCTGTATGTTGGGCTCGATAGACTGTAGTATGCCTTCGATACCGAACTCATCAACTGACGGAAGACGTGCCGGAGGAGCGTTAGCCGTCTGTTCTCTGTCTGAGCTCTGCCTCCTTGACATTGCAGATTCCCTCTCCGGTCCTCCAGAATAGGTCCGAACAATAACCGGTTGAGAAGACAGAGAGGCCCGGCTGGCAATAGAAGCAGACTGACGATGTTTCCGCTGAGGAGGCCTAGTAATCCCATGAAGTTGCCGCAAAGCAGTGGTCCGTCGAGCAAGCGTAGGATCGTCCAGGGCGGGATTGAATAGCCGGCCGCGAGTCCCCAATGTAGAGAGAGACTGGTTTGCCCATGGCTGAGGCGTAGGAAGAGACGAAGAGAGATGCTCTATACTGGCTAGGGATGACGGCCGATCAGAGCTGGAATCCATCCCGAGTGTGTGAGTATGTGTCAGGCGCAGGGCATACGTGGAGTAGATCTGTCTGCAGCAACAAGAGTCCCTCTTGGCTCATCAAGCTGGGATATGGTCAGGCTGGTCTCCCCACGACTGTACTGGCATAAGTAAATCGATGATGCGTGTCAGGATATGTATGACGAGACGGCCTTGACTATGCGACTGGGCTGCATATACGCATGTCCGCCAGGGATTGGATGGTCAGCGGGAGCGCAAGCAAGGTCGGGATGAAGCTGGAGATGCCACACTTTCCCCGGCCTTCAGTGTCCCCCGGAAACCGTTGAGGAGGGATGTCTCAGGCTCTAATCGGTGACAAGCCCTCCATGATGTGGGCGGCCTGCAGAAGATGTGTTGGCACCGTTATCCATCGCTTGTTATCATCATGCTGGCGGCTGGCTAGGGTTGCGGGGGACCTCCCGGAGTCCCGTGTTTAGCTACACCTGGCGGAAGATCGATGTTCCGCATTTGAGGGCTCGGTGGCCCCAGGTCCCGTCGAGTGCTGAGGTGGAGGCCCGGATGGGAGGATACACTCCGTGGGACGAGGATGAACAGTTCGGTCAGAGGCCGGTCGACGGGTAGACATAGCAAGGGAAAGACATGCAGGAGCCTTGAGGGGGCCATTGCATCGAAGCTGACGGGGGGATCATTGCCTCAACCATGAGCAGGTTCTATGTTTGTTTCTCTCCCATCGACTTGCCCATCCACCGGTAGATGCATGTAGTGCTGTGCTAACATGGATATATCTACACGTAGTTCGGAGATTCGGACGGGTCAGATAACGACTTGAACGATGATAATCTTCCGTTCCCGAAGCCGATATCGAGAGCTTCTTTTCTAACGCCGGATTTCGATGCCACAACCTTCCTGGCCTCGCTATCAAACCGCCACCAGTCGTTGGCTGATCTACAGACCGAGCTTCGAGAGCTGAATGAGGCACTGAACAAGGAACTTCTTGACCTTGTGAATGAAAATTACCAAGAGTTTTTGTCCCTTGGAGCTGCTCTGAAGGGTGGCCAGGACAAGGTCCAGGAGATTAGAGCTGGCTTGCTTGGGTTCCAGAGAAACGTGCAAGGGATAAAAGATCAGTTCGAGGCAAAGAAAAAAGAGATACGGGAATGTCTTGATGAAAAGAAACGGCTACGGTCAAAGATTTCGGTTGGGTACGAACTACTAGATGTTGCAGAAAGGATCGAATTGTTGGAGACGAATCTCATGATCCGGCCTGGAAAGGATGCAACGGCAAAGGAGAACGGAGCTCAAGCGGAAGATGATCATGAAAGTGATGGCCTGTCGGATGTCATACTAGGAAGCGAAGCAGACGATAGCGACGAAGATGGAGAAGAAAGTGAGAACGAGGGCGGAAACAAGGCGAGAATATCTCTTCGCAGGCTGGAGGCCCATATACAACAATATCTGAGTGTGAAGGTAATGGCGGATCGGATTGGAGAGAAACACCCTTTCATCTCCAGCCATGCCGGTAGGATTGATGCCATCAAGTCGGCTCTACTGCTTGACCTGAGCACCGCGCTAAAGGAAACAAGTAAACTTGGATCAAAGCGGGACGAAAAAATTTCTACAATACTACGGTTATATGACTCGCTGGGACACCATGACGAAGGACAGCAATGTTTGAAAAGGCTGGGAACAATAACTGAATAATTGAAGACTGCTGGTCTTTATGCATGTTTAGAGAATGCTTGTTTTGGAGTTTGGGCGGTTGACTCTTCTCAATGGAATAATATTTCTATCAAAAGACGCCAAAACATAGATATACAGACTAATTTACATGTTTTCATTCCGCTAACTCTTAACATCCGGTCAACATGTGCAGAGGAGGAGAATTTTCGCTCTTGTATTCACCGTTCAGGCTGAAGCCTGGGCCATTGGTGGTGCTCAGTACCTTGGGTAATTGTCAGTCAAGCAGTAACTAGAGAAAGGGAAAAGAAGGGAAGAATGAGAAAACCTACAACTTCGGCAATATCCTTGGATATTTGGTCCGACATTCCAGCCGCATCTTTCTTGATTGCAGCAATAAAAGCACCCAGGTTGTTCTTGAGTTCTTCGGGAGAGAAGCCCAATTGACCAATTGCCAACTTGACGACACCAGATCTTTCTCTGTAAATACTGCCTCCACGCATATTTCTCACAGTGGTAGCAACATTGTCGACAACGGTGCCCAGCTTCGCGCTAGGCATCAAACCCTTGGGACCCAACACTCGGCCCAAACCGGCCTTATTCAGACTAGGCAAACTGTTGGTGTGACAGATACAAACATCAAAGTCAATATTTCCTGCCTTGATAGAGTTGAAAACTTCCTCTTCACCAACGATGTCGGCACCAGCAGCTTTGGCTTCCTTTGCGGCACGAGATCCTGGTGGACATATAACACAGACTCGCAGGTCGGACCGAACCGCATGCGGAAGACGTATCTGATTTCGAATCACGGGGCCGTCTCGTTTTGTGCGTAATTTGACATGGACTTCATACTTGACGGAGGAAGTATTCCGGCCAGCTTCGAATGCGCGAAGATATCTTGTCGTGAAAAAAAGTTTTAAGGTAAGTATAAAATCTACACTTGAGAGCGAGAAGCAGCTTGTTCGCAAGAATGGACAATTGACGCAACAGAGCAGTATACACACCTCATGGCATCGCATAGTGAGAATTGGATTGCATCTCGGATGTCATATTGGGTATACATTGGCTTCTTCTTCTTGGGCTTGGAGTCTTTTGACTTGGACGACTTTGAGGCATATCGTTGCTGTTGTTGGAGAGGGCATATAAAGGATGGAGCTACAACCTGGGGTCGTAGGGAAGAAGACAATACTCCCCTCGACAGGGGAGCCAAGTATCTCGGGGTTGCAGCCATCACAACTCTTGAATTGATCCCAACCTCCTCGGTCAAGCGTCAAATTCGAAGCTGCGCTCACCATCTGATTCGACCTGCACCAGAGGCCGAATTTCTTTGCGGATAAATTAAGCTCCGTATCAGATTATATAAGCAACGGCTCTCCACTAAAACTTTCGGTGTTAAGTGAAATTATGTAATCAGGAGGGCTTAAACCTGACAGGTTCCCAACGACGACGACGACGAAGCCATAAACAACAATACGAAGTGATAGCCAATGAGTCTGGTGGCTACACTCTTATCGAAGCGAAATGTCTTCAACACTGCCTTCAGATCCTCCTGTCAGTCTATGGGCTGGCACTGATACTCACCATAGTTACCCAGTAACGGCCAAGTGAGCTGGACGTGACGAATCCTCTTATGGACCCAGCAAACCAGCCATCAATGCCGGTGCTGAAAAAGTCGCTTGCGGGGAAAGAGAATTCGACAGCAGATACTCCCTGCAGCGGGGCAAAAGGAATTCTATTAATAGGATACCCAAGAAAACAGTGAATGTCCACCCGAGGAGTGTTACAGTAAGCATGAACTGCCTGGGTACATACTCATCCCTATTGCAATGGAGCTATGCATCAGATATGATAACTCCGTGCGTGGAACAGCGTTGTTTGTCATAGGCAAGTTCCAATTACTTAACTGCTCAGAAGTGTTGCTTGCTCCGATGCCCGACTTGGATTTACATTCACTTTAACGAGAGGCCTGCAGAGAAGGGGGTAACCACAGTGCCGAGTGGTATAGTTAATGGACATGCATTTTCTCATAAACCATTCACTTCATGAGGGCAAAATGCCGGGAATCTGCTCAATTTGCATCACGCCCTAGGGTGCTGCAGGGCTGATTCAGCTAGTTATCATCTTCATGAACTTGTGTGTTTCACCAACTCCTGCCCTTATCTGGGGTAAATATATGTGATATTCATCAAACATCCTCACTGGCTATGGGACCATGGGGTAGTACTCTGGAGGTCTAGCAGAGTGCGCAATGGCCTTCCCAAACTGCCCTCGTTTTCAGATTATGATCGTCGATTCCTAGGCTTGCTCTCCCAAAATAGCGATGGAAAGGAAAAAGAAAGCATAAAATAAAGGTGGTTGAGCAGCTTGGCTGAGAGATTGATCTGCAACCCCAGCCAGTAATATTCGCTCCCATTATTTTGCTGCAAGGTACAGGGTTGAGACTCAAATTTACCCCTTTCGAGTATTTAACTCGAGCTCGATTATTGGGGCTGAGGAATGAAATAGCTGTACGGTAATTAGGGGTATATAATCGATGGCTTTCTCCAAGGGTTTGTTTCCACTTATGATTTACCGATTTACCTCCCAATATCATGACAGGAACGAAGCACATTTTGGCGCGTACACCTTCATAACCGTGTGGAGATGGGTGCAATTGCTCATATTCTCCTGGCTTGTTCCCTTGTTGGGGGGTCGCTGGCTTCATATTCGCTGGTCGATAACTTCGAAGGATCAACATTTTTCTCAAACTTCGACTTCTTCACTGGAGAAGACCCAACTCATGGCTTTGTCAAGTATGTAGGGGAGAAAGAAGCTAGGTCTGCAGGTTTAATCGATTTCGAGTCTCGATATGATGGTAGCACGGTGGTCCGGATGGGTGCCGACCACACGAATATCACCCCAGACGGCCGACCAAGCGTGAGGATATCAAGCAAGAAGAGTTATAACCAGGGGCTGTGGATCATTGATTTCGAGCATGTCCCTGGGCCTGCATGTGGAATATGGCCAGCTTACTGGCTCCTGGGACCCAACTGGCCAACGAACGGAGAAGTTGACATTTATGAGGGCATCAATCTTGACCTCTCGAACACTATGACCCTCCATACCGGTCACAATTGCACTATATCAAAGGATGCCCAATTCACAGGCAGGTTGACGACACCCTATTGTGACCAGAACGCTCCACCACCGTTAGGCGGCAATGGCTGCACAATCAAGGCCGACGATCCAACAAGTTACAGCAGCGGTTTGAACATTGCTGGAGGAGGTGTATATGCGACTGAATGGACCACCGAAGACCTTAAGATCTGGGTTTTCCCCAGAATAGCCGGCATCCCAAGCGATATCAGGAATGGCAATCCAGACCCTTCGAACTGGGGAACACCAGCCGCGCTTTTTACCGGAAACTGTAGCTTTACGGAAAGCTTCAGAGATATGCAAATAATATTCGACATTACCTTTTGTGGTGACTGGGCTGGAAGTCCAAAAATCTGGGAGGACAGCGCTTGCTCCGCCGTTACTCCGGAGTGCAAGACATTTGTTGAGAATTACCCACATGCATTCAAGGAAACATACTGGGCTATCAAATATCTGAATGTCTATCAGAAGACAACGGAAGCACAATTAGGCCAAAAACTTCATAGCCAATGGCAGCATAGGCGAACGCATCATCACCGGCACTTGCTACGCTGATATGAGTCTATAAGTACTGCTGTCTGCCGCTGGCCCACCATATAACATTCATTTATAATTTAAGGGAGATTAATATAATTTTAATATATGCCTTTGAATGACTGTTTCCGTAAACAAATGATCAGAAAGTTGGCCAATCTCTAAACCTATGCATCAAGTAACTATACCTCTTGATTTTGAATTGAATACAAACACTTTAATGGGCTGCTTTCCCTGAGCAGCTACAGCTCCTCTGCTATACCTACACATCTCTCCTGACACCTAAAGTCACAAAATTAGGGGAGAATATCCTCGAGCTTGCCTCATCCCATTGGAGATACCCGCCTGGTTCTTCGAGCTTTAGTTAGCTGAACAGTAGGTAATAAGGTCTTTACCAGGTGCTGTTTTTGAACAGTTTCTCCTTATGAATGGGAGGATTATGAGGTGGCTGCCGATCAGGTTAACGAGGAACGCATGTTTCTCATTCAACCTAGGTATTATGGTTATGGGTATAACATGTGGTGTTGCGTAAATATTTGACTGATTTGAAGTAGGTGAGACATACCCGCTTGATTCGTCCACAGCTCTAGACAGCAAATGGTACACTTCGCTTTCACCTCAATTCAATTCCCATTATGGGGTATAGAGAGCTGGATGTAACAATACATGTCCCGAAAATGGGCATCTTATTGAGCAATTAATGGCTTGGTAGAGTTTCAGTTAATCGAGAAGCCAGCCATCGTTGACATAAGTCAATGGCTGTCTTTTATGTACTGCTTTTATTCTTAAGTTAGAGCGGAAATCATAATTCCAACAATCCTCGCCATCTGTCTCGTTACGATGACAAGATGCTTGATAGATCACACGAACTATGCGCCATCGAAAACACTAGTCAGAGCCACGAGGTGTAAGACGATCTGTGGCGGCCGATTTCGTCCGGATCTCTGTAACTATTCCATGTATGCAGCAGGGGTGTCTCTTATTAAATCGATACTCCGTACTCCGTACAAATATATAAATATCATGACATAACCATGAATGCCGTTCGATCTCACCGAGCAACGTTCCACGAACTTCCATCAAGCTGACCTTGACATCAATAATCGCCTGAATTGATAGCCTGTCCCAATGGTTGATGGTAACCCAGCCGCCCGGGGTTCGCGTGTAGCGCTGCCGTATGCCGCCCCGTTGCCCCGTATTAGCCAGCAATATGGTGGCAGTGACGGAGATGAAAAGTATGAAGTGGTAATCGTGGGTGTAAGGTTATCCCTCTTGCTACCAATCAGCTCTATGTTCATATTTTGATGTTCAATGTGACAAATAGGCAGGTCCAGCTGGGTATATCCTCAACATCCTGCTCGCTCGCCATGGCTTGACGGATCAATCTTTATTATGCATCGACTTGAAGCCAACCAGAGTGATGTGTGGCCAGGCAGACGGGCTGCAGCCACGAACGCTCGAGGTCCTCAAGACCATGGGATTGGCTGATCCCATACTGCAGGATGGATGTTACTTGTGGGAAATGATGGTCTGGAAGCCATCCCAGGACGGGACTATCGAGAGGTTCTCCGTCATTGATAACAAAGTTGGTCCTGCAAGATACCAGCGGGCCATTACTATCAGCCAAGGAATTATTGAGCAAGTGTTTGATGACGATTTGGCTCATTACTCTCAACGAGGAGTTCGACGTAACAGCAGATTGGTTAGTGTATCTCTTGACGAAGACAGTGACCCGGACTTCCCAGTCATTGCAACTATCGAGACAGACGGGGTGCCACAAACAGTACGAACCAAATTCCTTGTGGGAACCGATGGTGCACATTCGACTGTTCGGAAATGCGCTGGAATTCAACTCAATGGGGAGTCTATTGATGACTTCTGGGGGGTGATCGATTTCGTTGTTGATACTGATTTCCCGGATATTCGAAGGTTTGGTCGAGTCCATTCACGCAAAGGCACCATCATGGTTATTCCTAGGGAACAGACCGTGGATGGAGATTATTTGACGCGCCTATACGTTCAAATGCCACAGCAGGAGGAGTCGGAAGATGGAAACCCTCACACCGAAGGCAATGGCATAGAGCCGAGGAGGTCTCGCAAGAGCCAAATTACACTGGAAAAGATCTTCCAGCAGGTGTCTGAGATATTTGAGCCATACTATATCCGTCCCAAGGCAGGCGTGGATATCAACTGGTGGACTGTGTATCAAATTGGCCAGCGAATAGCTGAAAGGTTCGCCATGAAGGATTCCAAAGGCTTGGGTAGAGTTATTCTCGCCGGAGATTGTATGTTGTCTTTTATTTCATTCGGTTTAAAGATGCTATGGTACGTTAACTTAGAGATTGCTAACTTTGAGATTTGGTAGCTTGTCATACTCACAGCCCAAAGGTTGGTTCCACCCAACATAATAAACTAACGAACTAACTAGTTAGTCAAGCTTAATTAGGCTCAACGTTGCTAATTAGACAATCTATAGGCAGGACAAGGAATGAACATTTCAATGATGGATGCTCATAACTTGTCATGGAAACTTGCATACACTATCAATGGGCTTCATCCTGATGTTGACGATCCTGGAGCCCTCCTCAAGTCATACGAAGTGGAACGGTACAGTGTTGCCCAGCAATTGATCGATTTTGATAAGAAGTATTCAACTGGATTCTCCAAAAGAACTACCGGAGAGGAAAACGAGGTTCAGGCCTCCTTAAAACAGAACCAAGAAGTCTACGAACAGTCAATTTCTTTTGCCAGTGGCTGTGGAATTGAATACCCAGAGACCTATCTAATTGATAGATCATTCCCGAATGGGTATCAAAACCCCATCTGTGGAACTGATTATTTCCATGGAATCCTAAGACCAGGAAGGAGGCTGCTGAATATCACTATCAGGAGATTTGCTGATGGGTTTCACAGAGACATACATGACGGTACGCTGAGGACTAATTCTGGGATTAAATTTGATTTAAGTTAACTAATGTATTGAACAGATTTGGTTTCTAATGGACGCTTCCGCATTCTCTGCATGACTTCGACAGATCTATTAGATCCCAAGGGGACTTCTGCACAAGTTATACTCTCAATTTCAAATCTTCTTTCACTCTTCCCTCCTTCACTTATTGAAGTTGTGGTGATATACCCTCGTCTTCCACGTGAGCTTGACTGGAGTTGTCTTCCTCAGGAGCTCAAGAAAATGGCCGAAATGAAATTTTACAGTGGATTTGACGTTGAGGACGCCTATAAAGCATATGGAGTTGATCCAGATGATGGGGTCCTCGCAGCTATCCGGCCAGATGGCTGTGTCGGAGTCATATCTAGATTGGATGATATTCCACGTCTGGAAACATACTTGGAAAAGTGCATGAGGAAGCAGGGTAAAGCTGCTCCTACAATGCATAATCTCAATTAGACCTAGCACGGCATAAAACACTGTAACTCTGCAACTAATTTCTTTGACGCCTGGTTCAATCCATCTGACCTGATATAGGCATCTATTGAAAAAGGTGTAGAAAAAGTTTAACGTATAATCATGACATAAGGACGTAGCAAGACGTATGCAGCATTGGACAGCAGTTTGCCACCCCTACTGACTAGCTTGGATGCCAATTACCCTATTGACTGCTTCATCATTGCTGATATCTTCGGGGATCACGCCAGCAGTCTTCAGTACGTTGATGACACCTTCGATCATGTGTTTCTCAGCACCCCTGGTACTACCTTTGACAAACCGTACATCCTTAAGCCATTCCCTAGCGTCTGACTCGGAATATGTACAGCCGAATTCGCCAGTTCCAAGTTGCTGAATTACCTTTTCTGAATCTGCCAGGAAAGTGGAAATGCCAGAGTCTAGCAGGCTGAACAGCTGCGTGAGCCGGCTGTCCGACTCTGGAGATGGGAATGTACGAGTTGAAGCTGCAATCTGCCAGGATGGCCAGGGAGTATAGATCTCTCCAATCTTTTTCAATGGTGGCTTCGGAAAGGCGGTAGTGGGCTCAAAGTATGGTTTCGTAGTAAACTGTTCCCACATGAAGAAATCCGCTGTAGGGGTTGGTTGTGCATCTGGCTGCTCAGGGTTATAACCAGTTACTCCGTCTCGCAGGGAAGGGAACGGTCCTAAGATAGTCGGGATAAGGGGTGACGAGGATGGCCAGCTTTGCTGTTGGGCCAAGACGAAGGCCATAATGTGGGAGCCACTGTAAACATCGTAAATAAACATGTATGCTCTTCAGGATTTGTCCCATGGAACTAACCTGCCCAAACGAGACACCCCCACTCGTCCTCCTTTGAGATCGCTAATACTCTGAATCTCCTTCCTGTCATGACCTGTAACAATTGCCCACCTCAATGGGGTTTCAACCCATTGGCCAACAAGTTTGTAACCACCATCCTTCTCTCCCTTTTCTAGCTGTGGTTTGCCGACTAGCCCTGCAACCCAACCTTCAGTCAAACCAATCGCAACGTCAATCTCATTCTGCCTCAGGGACGTTATCATATGCCCCGTTCCAGACGGGAAGGGAATCAAGGAGATTTTGAATGGAAGGGAAGAAGCCTCTGAGCTGCGGGCAGCGAGGTGTAGAGGGGCTAGGTAATGCTCTAGTGGCAAATTGATGTCTGTTAGTAAATAAGACTCCTTCAGTGCTGATTTGATGTGGTGAAAATATGATACCTGGAACATAGCCAATTCTAATGGTACTAGACTCCGAGGCCATGTTTGTAGGTATATCTAGCTCAAACACGTAGTTAGCTAAAGAGAAAACGTTCTGTTACAGTTGGATAATATACTCGGAAGCAGGCATCTGATAGATGATCAATAAGCGGGGGGAAACAAGAACGCCCTTGCGAAAGCGGGATAACATAATGAAAGCTTCTTAGCTAAGCTTCGGCTGGAGCCTACACGTCTGCCCTTCTAAACACACACTTGTGACCCCTCAGGAGGACGGGGATGTTAGTTTCTGACAAATCTACCTTGAGTGCTTCCTATGCTACCTTGACTCCGGCATCTTCAACGGAGTTATTTACGGCCCTTACATACCTGTTTCTCTACCCTCAAAAGGGGAAAAATGGGTTATGATAATGAAGTATGCTGGTTAAAACCACTCTATACAGTCAGCCATTTGAACGGGGTGGTATCTATCGAGAGAAGTGAAAGTAGCCACTGAACGACAGTAGGGCTGGCTGTATGGTAACTAGTTACTTGTTATTGGCTGATGAACGCTCTTCCAGTAAATACTTTTAAATGTACAGCGCTGCCACAGTTATAGATGCTTTATGAAGACACTACTACTATAAATGAAACAATCGTAGGCGAAGCGTAACAGATTTTGATAAGAGGATAATGAAGAAATATTCGCGGCCATCTGCGCAGGTACCAGCTTGCGTGCCGTGTCCAAGGCGGTCTTGGCAAAAAAACACTTTAAATTCACGACAACCTTCGACAAACGCATCCCAGTGGCTGGCCATTTCTAGATCGCTCTTTTTAATATGCAGTGCTTGCTCGAATAACGAATGTGTTTTATGTGATTATATCCGGCCATATAGTTACCTGCAATGTCTCCCAAACTTGAGTTTAATATCCGATGTTGATACCACCCAAGTGTATGTCGTAAAATTGATAACTCAGCCTTGCGCAACACACACTACACAGGGCTACATTTACAAGAGCGGCTTATGGAGCGAGAAACGCTAATATACTACTTAATAATTTGAGGAGAGTTATTTAAGGTGACGAGCTGTGTCTCATATCTGCATTCAAGAAGCCTCTCACTCTTCGATGCATGCAGATCCGTAGCCTTGCAGCTGTGCCGAATCATTGGAACCTGACTATACTGGGATTTCACAGTTATAAGGGGGGTATCCGCCCATGGATACCATCAAGAAGATGCTTTCCTCTTGGGAAACATAGTCATCTTGAGACATGATACCTTCCAATTCCCGGCAGAAATGTGCCAGGCAAAGCACATTAATTCCCAGACTTGGTATGACGGATGGTAACAGAGAAGGGCCTAAAAGATGGCGGAAAAGCTGGAGATTCACCTTATATTCGGCTTCAGTCACTGGATTACTTGTTCTCTTCTTTAACCTTGGGTTTCTGCTTTGGGTATTACCCCGGCATAGTTTTGGTAATGAACGCGGAACTCTTTATGATGGCAACTGCGATAAAGTGCACGACTTGAGCATTGGGCTTCACTTTGTTATAAACGTTTTCAGCACCCTCTTATTGAGCGCCAGCAACTACACTATAGTATGAATTCTAACTGTAAATATTTTTTTTATTCTGTTATATGTGCTAATGACTTGACAGCAATGCTTAAGTGCGCCAACAAGAGCCGATCTTGACAATGCCCATGGGGAACGATGCTGGCTCGATATAGGCATACTAAGCGTCAGAAATTTTCGTCAGATTTCCCGACCTAGGTCTGCCTTGTGGGTAATTCTAGTGCTATCCTCGCTTCCCCTACATCTAATGTAAGGAAGTTTATACGATACTTTCAATGTTTTAGTAACAGGCACTAACATCGTCGGCTTTATAGGTATAATTCCACTATTTTTGCTACTACATCGTCAAATTCCTATTATGCATTCCTCGGAGACGGATCTTTCGGACAAACAGCATTTGAGGACCTCAGTCTGGTTCCATCGGATCCCCAATTTCACCCCCTGGATTACTATGAGCTCCGGAATAAGTCTATCGTTGCAACGTTTACACGGCTTTACAAGATGTCGCAGAATGGAGCTCTGGAAAAACTGGACAATGCTGCTTGTATAGATGCGTACACGAAAACGTACCAGAATTCCTACGTCAATGTCTTGTTGGTGACGGATACGCCGCATAATAAAAGTGAGTACAAATATGTTGGCTATCAAGAAGTATATAGGCCTGTTACTGGATCACCGTTCACGTGGATATGTCCGAATGATTATGAGGAGGCTACCAAATGCCAATCCAAACTACTGAGTACCAAACCCGAAGTAGTAGCTGGTAACTGGGAAGTACTGGCTCAACCGATAAAATACTGTCTCGCGGAGGTTGCACAGCCTCACTGCAAGCTTCAGTACAGCTTACCGTTGACGGTTGTTGTCATGGTGTTTATCCTCGTGAAAGTGATTACTATATGCTACGTTGCTGTTACAATTCATACCCCAATCTTGACAGTTGGGGACGCTATCGCCTCCTTTCTTGAAAAGCCTGACACCACTGTACGAGGGAAATGCTTACTTTCGATGAAGGATCTCACTGGACCTTCAAGTACATGCAACCCGTTTTGGATACGCCAGAATCGCTGGGTGTTTTTTCACAAGCCTAAACAATGGCGTTCAGCCGTTTCACCTGGGCGATGGTGCTTTGGTATAATGCTGTATGTTACTCTTTACTCCTATACCATGCATTTTTGTTAAACAATTGCGTCTTTCCATGGCAGGTATTGTCTTTCTCTAGCCTTCTGTGCTTTTCTCCTATATATCGGGATGAGTTCCGTGTCAAATAAAACAGGAATTTGGACCGCCGGTCTGCAAGCACTCGATTTCCGCACACTGATAAGCACGAATTTCTGGCCTACATCATTGATAGCCAATACACTGATAGCAAATTTACCACAGCTTGTTTATTCGCTCATATATTTTGCTTATAACGGCATACTCACAGCCATGACCATGTCTGCAGAATGGAGTCAATATGCAACACAGCGAAAAGGATTACGAGTGTCTGCTGCACCGAATGCAGCACAACGAAGCAAATACTTCCTCTCATTGCCTTACCGTTATGCTATCCCACTTATGACCACATCGGGCATATTACATTGGCTCATATCTCAAAGTTTTTTCCTAGTGGGGATTGAAGCATATGACCAGAACCTCCAGCGTGACCCTGCATCAGACATCAGTGTTTGCGGCTATTCACCGATTGCTATTGTCTGTAGCATCTCCCTTGGCACAGCAATGATTTCTTGCTTGGTTGGTTTAGGATTCAAGCCATTCAAGTCTGCTATGCCGGTTGCGGGGAGCTGCAGCCTAGCCATTGCTGCTGCGTGTTTCCCTGATCCTGGAACATATGATCCCGAGAAACAGGCTGGGTCAACCCCAGACATCGCATGTTTGGCACTGAAATGGGGGGTTGTGCTTTTGGATGAAAGCTCAGTTGGTCATTGCGCGTTCTCGAGCAAGGATGTTACTATGCCTGTAAATGGGGAGGTATACCATTGATTCAGTGCTGATTTGCCAACAGTAACGCTTCAGATTATTGATAATAAAAAAGGTAGCCTATTTCTCTATAAGCGTGAATAACTAACCTCCTATAATAACAGTAAGCTCGTAAATTAGGATCATATTTGTATATATATAGAGATATATAAATATAAATATAACGCGGATAGCATGATCCTCTAAAATGCGCGATGTCTTGTTCTATGACATCTGCATGTCTGATGTTTTCATACCCCATCTATCAAGGGATGGGAGATCATTCGTTGTCCATGAACGCCAGTCTGCGAATGTGTAAAACTGAAAGCCCAGATATACGTCGCATAAGCACTGAAACACCCCGCATATCCTGAACGCTAGGGGAATTGTACCGCCGCTGAAAAAAAAGAAACTCATCTTCATGGCATCTCCAAGGAGCCAGGAGATAAGAACTGAAGGTCGAAAGCCTTTACATGATCGTGAACGCTGGTTTGAAATGATTTGTGGAATTGGTAGGAAAGCTTCGACACCGAGTCCACTGAAACCCAATAACTCTATGTATGCAGAAGACCGCGAAATTGGAGTAAGGAGAGTATGAATGACGAGAAGGGTCAGAGTGAAATAAGTAAGGAACATCCAGTACCTATATGAGCATACTATTAGAACTTGGAAACATAGTGTTTGCTGCCAGCAAAAGGTCGCAGGTAGGGAGGGTGATAACGTACGGACGGGCTGATTTCCATTGCCAGAATCCGTACGGTCTGACAAAACCAGATTCGGATCCTTGCCCAATGAAAGGAGTGTGCTCGATACCGGAGGAAGGCCGATTATCCAAAGCAACTTTGAGAAGTATAACTTGCACGCCGACCATTGATATCGCCTGTATAAGCAGAGGAGCGGAATAGTAGGATCCAAACCAGAAAAATATCCTGTATGATACGACTTGTCAGCGGGAAGTTCTTGTTCACCCTATCATATTTTGGGGCCGTCGGATAAAATGGAATCTGACGCACTTAAATATAGAAGCGACGAGCATAATCAATGGTATATCCAATGAGAAACCGGCCGAGGTCTTTGTCCGGTGTATGCTCATGATCTGGTCGGCGTATGAAAGGACAGGGGAAAGGACGAGCCTGGTTGATATTATTGTTAGTAGGTGTAGTTGTAGAACAGACAGTGCTCCACGCGACCAACATGGGAGAACACATACAATGGCGGCGCCCCATAGTCGATTATAAAGGTAAGAAACGACATATTGATCAGGCAAGTATATCCCAAACCCTCAGGCGGTAATTTTTTTTTGATCCCCTCCTGGCGCTATAGCCAGTTCGCTTATCGATATTCGCTCAGCCGCACCAGTGACTGACGCTCACACCATCCAGCTCATTTCCTTGTGTAGACAAAGGGTGATATTATAGATATAGCTCGATCGCGATGTTGGGAAATCTAATCGATCAATCCCTGTCGATGTCTCGGGTGTAGCGGTAGGAGCGTCAATGGGGTAGATTGGTTTGTTTATGATGGCAGAGATGTTGGATAAGCCATGAGACGGTCGTCCGGGGTAAAAAGCAAGTTTTGTTCGCTGCTGGGGCAGCTGGATCGCATTCGGCTCAGGCCTTGACGAGACTTGCGGACCTTTGAAAGCTCGTTGTCAGACTAGTTGTTGACCCTGGGGCTAGTTCGTTAGTTAATTAAAAGTTTGGAGTGGATTATCTAATGTTCCTCGGACGAACTTTGTAACGTCATACCGTCGTCAGCTTTGCATATGAAAATCGCAAATATGGAGGCCGATGAAGTTGATGAAGCTGATGAAGCCAACAATCATGTCTCGCATACTCCCTTGCGGAGATGGGCATAGAGACGAGGTGTGCCAAAACGTTCCGATTCATTGGTTGAAAATTACCAAATCAAAAGGTACAAATGTATTTCACCTGAAACATGATAAAACGCTACATGTAGGATTATTCAAAAATCCAAAGAACCAACCATAAAACTTCTATAAAATATATAATCACTGTGTAAACTACCATTTGTAGTAATTGTGGCAGGCAACTAAGCAAAGTCAATCTTCCATGACTTGGCGATAGAAACCCCAGGTTTCTTCACAATCGCAAATGCTGCCTTTCCACTCTCGGCATCATACCAGTTCATGCTGGCCTTGATACCAGACTTTGCGCCGTCTTCAAGCACCAAAACACTGTCCTTGCCCTTCCAGCTACTGGGGGCCCCAACAATAACGATCTTCTCAACATGTACTTCTGCCATAGCCTTGAGATACTGGTTCGTTTTGGAGCCACTAATGGACTGATCTTTGGAAGAGAGACTGGAACCTGAGAAGGAGAATTGACGGTGGATATATGCTCCTTGCTTATAGTCAAATGTTTCACCATCATCCACATATAGTTCTCCCTCGGCTTGGCCCTTGCTATCAAGGACCACGATAAGGGTGTATGGGTCGTATTTCATCAACCCGCTGCTTCGTCGTGGTCTGTCCTTTCTCGGAACTATGTGGCCGCCCTGAATGAGAATAGGAATTTTCTCCAATGGAGCATTGATGGTATGCTTCTTGTTGGCGCCCTGGTAAATGGTAAAATCAAAGTAGTCATAGTACTTCTCCTCGTCGGCGATGTAAACATCAACACTGGTGGAACCTTGAGTAACAACCGGTTTGACCAGAAGGCCAGTATGGCCGAGGTAGAACTGGTCATCGAGAGCAAATCCTTGTTCATCCGATGGGTGAACGTAATACTGTGGTCGAAGGATGGGAGAGCCGTTGACCGAAGCACGCTGGAACTCCGTGTACCATGCTGGCAGAAGTTGATATCGGACCTTGAGTGCCTGTGTAATGATATCTCGGTATGGCTCACCAACCATGTACGGCTCTCGTCTACGGGTGTCGATGTGTGCGTGGGCACGGAAGAAGGGGTAGAAAGCACCTGCCTGGTACCATCTGGTCAGAAGCTCCTTGCTTGGGTTACCGAAGAATCCTCCGACGTCTGCTCCAGCAAAGGGGAAGCCAGCAATTCCGTTATTAAGAACCATAGGAATCGAAGCAGCTAAGTGACTCCACTCTGCCTGGTTATCACCGGTCCACATTGCACCCATACGCTGAGATCCGGCATAAAATGATCGAGTGAGGACGAAAGGGCGCCTTATTTCTCCCTTTTTACGTTCAATGAGTGCATTGTAAGTAGCGTTGACGAACGTTAATCCGTTGACATTATGGACATCACGGTGCTCCCATCTATCATGGTGTATGTTGTCCTTTGGCATGGTTGTTTCGGGTCCATTGAAGACAGAAGGCTCATTCATATCGTTCCATAACCATGAGTTGGATGCTGTTCCCTTGAAGTTTTCATATTTGAAAAGGTTGGCCCACCATTCCATTGCAGCCGGTTTGAAGCAGTCTACCCAGTGAGATGAACCAGGCCAACACCATCCCTCGTAAATATCCCCATCCTTGTTCAGAACAGCGAGTTCTTTCTTCTTCATTTCATCAACGATAGGGTAGTTTGCCTCAACTTTAATATGAGGATCGATAATATAGACCAGCTTGCGTTCAGAGGCGTCAAGTTGTTTCTGCATGCTAAGCGGGTCAGGGAAGGTGTGAGGATCCCAGGTGAAATATTTCTTTCCATCAGTGTATTCGATGTCAAGCCAGATAACATCATATGGTATTTGGTACATATCAAACTTGCGGTCGACATCCTTGACGTCCTCATCGGTAACATAGTTCCAGCGGCATTGGTGGTAAGCAATGGCAAACTGCTGGGGGAGTTGAGTAAAACCGGTAAGTTCGCCGTAGGTCCTCGAAATGGTATCAGGAGTTGGGCCAAGAAATACAAAGACATCCAACTGACCGCTTTCCGAAAACCAATGAGTTTCAGTCGTGGTTTTTGCGTCTACTCCTATAGACATTGGGTTGGGAAGAAGGGTCGACTTGACGATATCAACCCAGGTCTCCGCAGCATTCAGCCAGAAAACGCCGACCGTAGAATCTTTCCTGTGAGCTTGCATGAAAGGGATTGATCCATATAGAGTCATTGGGCTGTTCAGCTCATACTCAAATACATCCGAGTTGTACATTCGGTATGGCTCGGTATGCTGGCCTTCTCCACCCCTGTTTGCTCAGTCAGTGACGTTGAAAGAATAAGGACTTTTCAAAGGCGCTGGACCTACCTTGTTTGTTTTAGAGACATGGAGTCAGCGTGTTCGGGAATGCCAAAAACATGCTCGTAGCCGGGGAAGCTGATATCCAGCGCAACACTCTCTGGCCCTCTTGGCTTAGAATCCGTGTTTCCTCCAAACGACTCATCCCACCAGGTACTATCGTCCAAGACATCGGGAGTGGATTCGGACCCAGGCTCGATGATGTCGTTTCTCGGTCTCCATTCCTCAATGTTCAAAAGTCCCTTCGAATTTAGCTGTACTTGAGTCTGACCATCTCTCTGGAAGTAAACTTCAAATGGAGAGTGCCTGATGACAGCCTCAAACTTCATATCAGGGCCATACTGGACTTTGGTGGTACCTGAGGTCTCGTCGGTAGTAAACTCAGCGGAAGAGGAACGTTTCATATCTCCAGTAATTGCCCATTTTGCAGCTTCATTATAACGTTCTTTCCTGACAGTGCTGTCACGCCGTAATTTGATGTCTCCTTTCATTCGTCGCTCTTCGTCGATAGTAATGCGAGCTACCCCGGATTCCAGGAACGACACCACCAACGGAAACCGCACTTTCTCATCGTTTCCTACAGTTTTGATGACGGTTCCAAGCAATTGACCATCCGAAAACGTTAAAGAGCCGGCCTCAAGATGAAAAGGAGAGGTCCATGCGGAGGCCTGGGCGGCTGCATTATCTGCATACTGCCTGTTGCGCTGGCAGAAGCCGGACTGGGAGCACGTCTTGAAATTCTCATGTTTAACCATGACTACGCAGCTTGCACCGTTAGACAGAACGCCTTTAATTTATGCAGATAGAGCCCAACTTACCTGCTGGAACAGCCAAAAATGAGACGATGGTGACTATCACCAGGATAAATGACCATCGTGGATGGCTTGCCCGTGACGGCGCCATGTGGTGCAAGGAGAGTAACTAAACGAAACGAAAACAGAAGAAAACGCTTATCGCCGAACCATTGGGCGTAATAAACACTCCGCCTGCAGCTTCTCGCTGTCTTGAAGCTGTCTCACTGCTGTGTACAGGCCCTTTCTTGCGGCTGGATGCTGTCGTCTGCTGCGTAAACGCGATGTTTGACGTTGGAAGATGCCACGAACGACGAAGCATGGGCAGGCTTGGCACGGGGAGACCAACACCGCCCTTTTTTTTTCTGCCCCTCCCTAGGAAGCGTCCCGCACATAAATTCTGCTCCTCCTTCTCCTCCCTCTCCCTCCTGTCTACAACATCTCACCAAGGACAATTGGCAGGTTTTACGCATACAGACTCGATCTTACTCTCTCAACATGTCTAACGAACAGACGTAAGTGTCATTGCTACCCCCGATAGAACTAAATCTAGACGTTGGACAAGCTCTTACTTCTGCTGCTAGTTTCATCGCTATCAAGCCCGATGGCGTCCAGGTATGGCCCGCATTGTACCACAAACACAACACCCAGCAGCTTCGATGGCCGCTTGTCAGTGATATATAGCTGACTCTGGACGTCTCCAGCGTGGTCTCATTGGCCCAATCATCAGCCGCTTCGAGAATCGCGGGTGAGTTGCTCTCACGTTTACCCCTCCCCGCGGTATGGTGTTTTTAAGAGCCAATGTGCTGATTTGAGGCTAGATTCAAGCTCGTTGCCATGAAGCTCGTCACTCCCTCCAAGGAGCACCTCGAGACCCACTATGCTGATCTCTCCAGCAAGCCATTCTTCAACGGACTCGTCTCCTGTACGTCGACTTGCCTCTCTGGTGCTTTCACAGCCTGTCTGTGCTGACATCTATTTAGACATGCTCAGCGGACCCATCTGCGCTATGGTCTGGGAGGGCCGCGACGCCGTAAAGACCGGCCGTGGTATGTAGCTCCCACAATTCTTTCAACCGCAAATATTTCAGCACCGCTAATAGTTATAACCTGCAGTCCTCCTCGGTGCCACCAACCCTGCTGACTCTGCCCCCGGCACCATCCGTGGTGACTACGCCATTGTGAGTTGAACTCTCGTCCTCAAAATTTGGATTCCGCTTGTGAGTGGGACCTAACGTCAACCTCTAGGACGTCGGCCGCAACGTCTGCCACGGCTCCGACAGCGTCGAGAACGCCAAGAAGGAGATTGCTCTCTGGTTCAAAGAGGGAGAGGTCCTCAGCTACAAGCAGAGCCAGTTCGACTGGATCTATGAGAAGGCATAGATAGCTGCCAGGTGTAGTAATTCTCGCCCGCTTGGAATGACCATAATCGGAGGGTCAAACGGCTTGACATGACCAAAAATCATCAAATAACAAATAATAAACGCTTTTCAAAAGGCAATATTGATCAATTCTTCTTCAATCATGCCATGCCGTCGAATGCGGAGGTATATTGGGAATGTATAATGCGTCGTATCTATCTTCCCTTATTTGTGGACGCTAGCCTTCCCATAGCTCGTCCAACAGGCCCCAAAACTGTTCGCGCAAACCACGGAGTCGCCCATACGCTCCAAGCAATCCTCACTGGAAGTAATGCTTTGGTAATTGCGTAAGCTGTAGCAAACTCCAGTACTAACCGTAGACCTTGTCTATCTTTTGCTGTAAGCTCACTAGCACTGTCTTCAACCCGTATTGCTCCCCTGTCCATGGTAGACATATCTTCCACATCTCGAACCCATCCTCGCTTCCGGAGCCATTTTCCAAACTTCCTGACTCCTTCGTCTACAGGTGAGGTTCCATCGGAGTTACCCAGAGATGGCAGCCATCCACCATAATGGAACACTCCAACAAGACCAAAAAGGGGTATGATAGCTGTTAGTTCGTGAAGGATTAAGAACGACGTTATATGGGTTACTGGCGCATTGAAAAGGGGTGTGGTGTAGGACCGAAGGAACTTGGGAAGGCGGTTATTAAAGGATTGGAGTCTCAAACGCATTCGAGAGGAAGAGGAGGGCTCGGAATGGACTCGACGGCGTAGGATAGGGCGTAGCAGCTGGCGACTGATATAGATATAGGATGATGTCGTTGGAGTTGCTCTCCATGCAACACATGAGAGAGCCATTCAGGGCAGACGTCAAGCAAACCACCACAAAACGAATGGCCTAGCCAAAATTTGGTTTCATTGCATTTTGAATGGCCTCGTAATATTTTCGAAACTATCGGGTCGTCTGAATGGGCCCAGGAGCTCAAGTTCTGCGTCTGCAAGCAAAGCTGAAACACTGCGGAAGACCTCGGCTATAGTTAAGTAACACGGTCAATATTGACAGATGCAAAGAGATACAACGGCACTTTTTCACCGCGGCTTGCCAGAATATGAACTTGTTGGAAGCCCAACAGAGGCCTGAAGCTCGAAGGAAAAGGTTTTTGTCTTCTTTGGCGTGAGGATGAAAACCGCAAAAGGCTGCTGTTGGATCTTCGTTTAAAGAAGCGGTTGACTAAGCAGCCAGCTTTGCAGGGGTTCAACATTGGGCTTTTCATAGAAGAAGAACTTGAGAACTCCCGAGTTAGAAGAGAGCACCGCTACATTGTTACATTCCGACGGACTCTGATATCCGTCCGGAAGAAGCTATTACCATCCAGCATCTCTCCGGTAGCCGGTAACACAGCGCTGTTGGGGGAATTCTCTGTTGATCTTGGATTCAGATACCTGTTGACTACACACCCCTCGGCAGTCACCAGAGGTATCCATAGAGGAAACCAAGATTTCTACGGGTTTAACCTGCAGCCATGGAGAAGATATCAGACAAAATAAATGCCCTTCCTAAGGATGCCCACTACTTTTCCTTGGAATTTTTCCCTCCAAAAACCCAGATGGTGAGACTCGCTTCTAGCCCCGCCATTAGCTATCAGACTGACTGAGTGCCTTCTACAGGGGTCATCAAATCTCCAAGCCCGTCTGGAGCGTATGTCTCAGGCCCTACGACCTCTGTTTGTGACAGTCACTTGGGGTGCCGGCGGCAGTACGGCTGCTAGGTCACTTGAATTGGCAGAGATATGTCAGAGACAACTTGGATTAACGACATGTCTCCATTTGACTTGCACGAACATGAACCGAACGTTGATAGATGAGGCCTTGGAAGAGACAAAGGCATTGGGTATCCGGAATATCCTTGCTTTGCGTGGTGACCCACCACGAAGCGAGGAGTATAATATAGATGGTGAGGATGACAGTAATAAGGACTTCAATTATGCGGTGGACCTTGTGAGATATATCCGAAAGAAATACGGTGATTATTTCTGCATTGGCGTTGCGGGATATCCTGAAGGCCATGCGGATGAATCTCACCCAGAGGTGCAAGACCCATTGAAAGATCTGCCATACTTGATAGAGAAAACTCAAGCTGGCGCAGACTTCATCATGACTCAGTTAACGTACGACATTGAAGCGTATAAGAAGTACGAGGCCCTACTTAGAAACCATGAGTCTGGAACTTTCAAGACCATCCCTATTATACCCGGCCTAATGCCCATTCAAAGCTATCACACTCTGACCAGGGTCACCAAGCTGAGCCACGCCAAAATACCTCCACAGATACTGGCAAAGGTTGAAGCCTGTAAAGCTGATGATGAGGCTGTAAAGCGAGTTGGTGTCGATATTGTCAGCGACCTTGTAGAGGATATCAAGAAGATTGCCACACCAGGACATCGTGGCTTCCATTTCTATACTCTCAACTTGGAGAAATCAGTATCCTTCATCTTGGAACGATGCAACTTGATTCCTCCATCATCTGAAGCCCCTAGCGATAGCGAGCTTGAGTTTGAGTCTGCTGTGTATGCTGCTTCAGGAGCATCGAATGGTGTTGCAACTCCCGACGGCAGATCAACAAACGTGAACCGATTGCGAGCTTCCTCAATGAACTCTCAGCCACACAACCGTGTTATTGTCGATAGACTGACGCGTGCCTCTGACAGATCTGAGCGAAGTTCGACTGTGCATGAAACTTCCGCTCAGACTGCAGGGTACCCTGCGCTTAACCCCCCAAACCGTAACACCGCGTTGCAAATATCCGAGGGCCTTGGTTCTCTAGGACGAGAGGCTACGTGGGATGACTTTCCCAATGGTCGATGGGGTGATGCTCGTTCTCCAGCCTTCGGTGAAATCGATGGATATGGGCCGTCTCTCCACGTTACTGCGCAGGTCGCTAGGAAACTATGGGGAACACCAACCTCCAGAGAAGATATCAGCAACATCTTCAAACGCCTACTTTCAGGTGAATTGCACGCAGTTCCCTGGTCTGAAGGTGGGGCAGGAGAAGAAGGTGGTCTTAACCCGGAGACTGCAACGATTAAAGCCGAGCTCCTTAAGCTGGTCGAGGGACGAGGATGGTGGACGCTTGCATCTCAGCCAGCAGTTAATGGCGTGCGTAACGACCACCCAGTATTTGGCTGGGGACCTCGAGGTGAAGGTTTTGTGTTTCAGAAGGCTTTCGTCGAATTTTTCTGCTCAGGGGATGACTTCCACTCAAAGCTGAAGCCTTTGCTTCAGAGTTACGGACATGATGAGTTCGCCTGGTTCGCTACGAACGCAAAAGGTGATTTCCAGTCGTCTTCCTCTCCAGAAACACCAACGCAGCCGCCTACAGATCCTACAGAAGTCCCTTTTGATGCCGACCCTTTGACCGAGATGGACAACGGAAGCGTTAATGCCGTAACCTGGGGTGTTTTCAGGGGCAAAGAAATTGTTACTCCGACTATCATCGAGGCAGTAAGTTTCCGGGCTTGGGGAGAAGAAGCATTCGGCATTTGGGAAGAATGGAGACGTGTATTCCCTCGTGGAAGCCCAAGTGAGAAACTCATAAGGGAAATTAAGGATGATGTATGGTTAGTTTGCGTTGTTGGCCAGCGCTTTGGGGCCGGTGGAGACGTAGGAAAGGAGTCTAACGAGGAAGATGGGAAGTTGCTTTGGAAGGTATTGGCTGGAGAACAAACGAAGTAATTGGTTACGGCACTTGATATGATGGATGAATGGGTATATAATCGACCTTTGCACGTCTCAACTCCTGCAGACTTAACCATACATACCTACAAACATGGACAGTTTCTTGGAGTTATTTACCTGCTCACCTTAAAAAGGGTACTCTATAAGATAGGGCTGAAAGGTTGTTATCAAATTTGTTTGATATGCAACGAATTTTGAATCGAGGCTAAGCTTTGCCAACAGCATCCCAAAGTAAACCCCTGTCCAGGGTAGGTGGAATTATACTATTGACCACTAGGTTGGTCGTTTCCATTCAGTCTGCCATCTACCATTATGCATTCAAGCCCACTGGAGGTGGCTAAATTTGCTCTTTCACAAATAACAAATCCTTTGAAGGTAGCATACCAATCTAATGGTGGGTATAAATGTGAGCTATGGGATATACCTAAACATAGGGGCTTTATCTGCTAGTATAGAAGTGTCCACTTTATGCAGAGGATTCGGCTTGCCATACTTCTTGTCCCTTTGCGCATTAACGATCTGATGTCGAGTGTACAAGACAACCGACGCCACGAAGCTCAGGCACAGAAATGAGAGGACAATAGCATACCCTCGGATATACATTGGGCCTTCCTGCTCAGGGAAACTTTTGCTAGCAAGAATGCTTAAGCAATGGCCCGCAATCACAATCATGCAGAGTGCCATCGCTTTCTTCGACTCTGCACCAGCGTTATCCGAGACCCATTGCACTTCCAGCGGTATACACGGAAAGATGCCAATGACAAGTAGGAATACACCGCCAAGAGCAGCTTTGGGGTTTTCTTTCGCTGGGAACGTGTACATCAACGACACTCCAATGATGGCCAAAGCGGTTCCTCCGATAATAAATGGACCTCTTGTTCGCAGCCTGTCTGATAAGAGACTGAAACTAACCATGACCACCCAGCCAGCCATATACGGGCCGATAGTCATGTACTGTGCTGCAGTCTTTGAATACCCAAGGGAGTGAAGGATGGTTGGTAGAAAGATTGAGATTGTTGCCAGAGATGCATCGTGTCCCATTTTGACGATGCAAACACCATATACCTTCCAGTCTTTAAGGCTGGCAATAACATGCTTCATGACAAGGGAATTGTGGCCTTCACTTTGTTGCCCTTGATTCATTCGGCGAATAGCAATCTGCCTCTCTTCTTCATTTTTGAAAAATTTTGAGGTCTCTGGCCTGTCAGGCAAAAAGAACAGGACCACGAATGCGAAAGCGACGGTTGGCAAGCCCTCGACAAGGAAGAGAACCCGCCAATGGCCAATGGTAGTGTGGATGAGAGATATTCCATATGCTACCAGCCCACCAAATGCACCCGAGAAAGCTGACATCCCAACGAACAGGCAAGTTCTGAATGCAAGTTCGCTGCGAGTATACCACAAGGTCAAATGAAACACTGCCGTGGGAGCAAAGGCAGCCTAAGTTGAGAACGGTTAGCCCAGGCGTGAGAAGTTGCATTGCACAGCCTTCTATACTCGCCTCGAAAAAGCCAATGAAGAACCGAGATGTAGCAAGGCCAGCAAAGTTGAATGCCCCAGCTCCCGCCGTAGCAGCTATACCCCATCCAATGACTGAGATGAAGATAAATCTCGAAGGATAGAACCGTTTCCCCCAAAGGGTGAGAGGTATTGCGAATATAATGCTACATTGAGTAAGTCATTATATCCTTCAAACTGAGGAATAGGGCATAAACTGACTATCCAAAATAGAATATGCTAGCTGCCCAGGAGAAGTTGGAGTCGTTTCCATCCAACGCCTCTTCTACTATTCCTTGGAGTTTTGCATTTCCTAAGTTTATCCTGTCGAGGTATGCCTGCCCCGTGTCAGCGACTGGCAAGGGGTATAGGACGGTTGATTATCAGCACCAACCAGCAAATACAGTACTGCAAATTGGGGCATTATTATCCAGTCTTGACGCCGTACGAGTTTTCTACCAGTGAGTTAGTAGGAGTTAACTAAACTGCAGAAATTCTTATTACTTCGAGTGGCTCACTTTTCAACCTCCGACCTATACTCTTGGGATGAGCAAGGCCATTTATCGTCACTATCACTCCCTTGAGCCCCTGAAAGCTCTACATCTTCAATAACGCCTGTTGCTCCAGCAGGCTTATTTTCTCCCTGGGGCAACGCCATGTCTACAGTTCACCAGCTCGCGCGCGAGGAACGGAGATGCATAGTTAGCCCTGTAACTAGTTTGCTAAACAGGATGTGGGGAGGGAATGCCATGGTATATGTACAACGCAACAAACAGCCGGATTGACCGCTTATTATTGATAACTACCAGGATGGCTTGATTCCAGCCTTGATCGCCATTAAACTCGAGATCTGCTGGTCTCTCGTGTAATTCGCTGACAGGCTCAACTCTCACCCCTTGCCAAGGGGCGATCGCTGTTCATGATCGACATGCTTGCAGTTATCTGCCGGCAGACCTGAAGATCGAGCCGCGAAACTCTCTTTGACTGGGGTACTTCGTAACGATGGCCGAGTTATCCTGGATAATATCTGTTGCAGGGCCATGGACCACGTAACTACTCCATATGAGGAAGAGAGGAGTTCAAGTATCCTCGTTGCGGTAGTTATTCCTCATGGATGTGCAAGAAGCCTGACACATAAGTGTTATTAACACCAGTTCGCTAGTTAGTTATTGCAGCGATTCCATTTTTAACACTGCTTTCCTACACGAAACTGGGATAAGCATCGGTAACTAGGCTGACCTCTACACTTGCACATCACCATATAGTTACATCGCAAAAAGTGGCATTCTCGATATCACCCGTCCAGGCCGGGGATGTGGAGTTGCTGGACAACCAGGGGAGGCGCATCAGCAGTAGACATGCCCTGCAATTAAGCCCAGAGAAAGGCAAAACAAAGCCGAATGGCGGATACAATGCCCCTTTCTCTGGATATAAGTACGTGGTTAGATATATAGAAAAGACTAAGAGAAGAGAGACGAAGAGTAGGTACTTCAGAGTTATCGGAAAAAGAGCTATGCCGTAAGCTATCAATTAACTACTTTGTATAGATAGCTATGGAATTTGCTCATGTCGCTCTGGGGAATCACCTTCATGGAGGTCAATCCGAAGCATCAGCGGGAGGACGTTGAGTCTGCGTTCATGGAATCATTCTGTAGTAGAGTTGGTGAAAGACAAACGTCCAGGACACATTTGTGATTCGTCGCCAGCTGCCGTTCGGCTATTCTCCAAGGTCGGGTTTAGAAAAACCGGAGCTGTGGAAACAGACCAAGGCAGCTTTACGAGAATGTTCATAATGTTAAGCTTGCCTTCAACTGACTAGAATGCGAGACCCCAGGCAGCTCTACGTAAACATGACATACGCCGGGGTCTCCGGGTATAAGTTGGAGTTCCGGATTCAAACAGAGACGGCATCTCTCGTCTTCTTCGTACAATATTATTAGCTTGAGAAATATTGCCAAGCAAAACCGGCAGTTGGATGTGCGTTGATATATTCCTTAATTGCCATCAAAATGGCCAGGGTATACAGGAGGGTATGACAACATTGTGGCCGTTGGCGATTGGGCTGAAGCGGTATGAATGACAGGGTGAGCAGACTTCGGCGTCGTGACTATCAAACGGTGGATGGATAAATCACTGCATCTTTTCGGCAAATCCACGAGCTTCGAGTTCCTCAGCCTCAGCATCAGGAGTAACTACAGACGACTGAGACTCCAGGAGCCTTTCCGCAACACCATCCAGGCGTCCAAAGACCTTTGGGTTTCGTTTCTCCCCCGGCCCGGTTTTGAACTGGTAACCTCGCATCCTATTGCAGGGTTAGCAATGTTATTATACTACAGACAAGAGAGTAAACTCAAAAAGCATACCTTGGGCCTTGCCCACTGGGCTCGGGAAACTCCGACATATAAGTGCACTCAAAAGTTTTTACATCCTCTTCGAATGTCCCACGCTCAATACTTGTTCTTATATCAATAAAGAACCTATCCATAATGGCATGGTTGTGTATCTGGAGCAGTGTCCAAGCAAGCATTTCTTTCGCATTAAGCAGGTGGCGGAGGTAGGCTTTATGGTACGTCTTGCATGTGTAGCACTGGCAATCAGAGACAAGTGGTGAAGTGTCGGTGGAATGAGCGGGTAGTAGCATATCAACTGCTAACGGGTAGGGTGACGATTTGTTATCATTATTTTGAGGGGTGCCTTTTGGGAAGAAAAAGTCGAAAGCGAGACCTGCATCTGACGCCGTTCCGATGAATTGGATCGCAGAAAGGTCAAGCCCAAGTGACACTCCCCTGAGAACGTCTTGAGGGGTATTAGATTCACCAATAGACAGCCGTGGTAAATGCCAAAGGGCTTGGGGGATCAATTCAATTGTGGCTGGGTCCCATACTGCAAACCCAGAAACCGCATCTGCCATTTCTTCCTCCAGATCCCGCAAGTATACGGTCTGCCGTTCCTTTTCAAGTGGAAGTATTGGTGCAAAAAACGAGGTTTCTCCAAGCCGGTTGCATATATCTGCAGGCTTAAACAAGATGTCTACGGCCGACTGCGTCCATGCGTGTGTCCGATCAACCATTTTCTCCCGTCTTTTCACCCCCGGCTGTCTATCTAACACATCAGCCAGACCAATTGCAATATCTGGCTTCAATGACTTGATAGCATCTTGGTACTGTTCCACCTGCAATTGCTGGTACCCGACTGAGGTCAGAATGGTCACTGAATTGACGGAATTCGAGCTTGCTGTGGCAACCGGCGGAATCCTCCTGGGCCCAAGGAATAGCAGGTATTCATCATCGAAGGAGAGGAACTTTCGGAGAGCGGATTCTGTCTTTCCCGTAGGTGTATTATATATTGGTGGTATTTCTTTTAATGAGTTTCGTTCTATGACTGAACTGCCCCAGCAAGCAGAGAGGTTAGTAACGAGACATTCAAAGGCTGGTACTTAATAGCTCAGGACGTTCACGTACAATCTTCAAGAGCAACATATAGACTGGCTATCGACATGTGTTCTTTTATATTGTCATGGCTGACATGCGGCAACACCCCTCTCGACGTGATGGGCAGATAGCCTGGTGTCAGTATTGGTTTGCGCCCAACTCTGCACAATCTCCCCAGCCGCGGAGCAAGCTGCGTAGGCGGATGGGATAGTAGGCTGAAGCTGAGCATTTCTCCAGAATGGTCAGGCGGTATATCAGAGGCCATGTTCGCTCCTATTAATGTGGTGAAGACGTTGGGCTTTGCGACTTTGCGATCTTATCATTTTTTCTTTTCTTGAGGCTAACTAGTTAACTAACTAACTAACTAGCAAGAAGTTGACTTTTGGCTAGAAGACAAACAACCAAGCCTGTCTACAGTCCGCAGGGACACATTCTAACCCTCCACTATTTTCTGTGCGTATATATATGATATATACCAAATGACGTTGGAAAGCGAAATTCAACCCTCCAGAAGGGGAGCTCTTGTTGTCGTGGAAGGCTTGGATCGCGCCGGGAAATCAACGCAATGCGCGAGACTGCACCAGTTCCTCGTAGACCAAGGACATAAGACGAAATACATTCGATTCCCAGGTGCGTCAAGGCTGGTAGAGTGTCAGTGAAGCCATACTGATGATACATCAGATAGAACTACCTCAATTGGCAAGATGATAAACCAATATCTTCGTGGAGAGATACAGCTCGACGACCATGCGGTCCATCTGCTCTTCTCCGCGAACCGGTGGGAGGCTGCTGCGCAGATACGACAAGATATAGAGTCCGGGATCACCGTCATCGTTGACCGATACTCGTATTCGGGGGCAGTATACTCGGCTGCAAAGGAGAACAAGGAACTGCAGCTTGACTGGGCATGGAGACCTGAGGTAGGGCTACCTCGACCTGATATCTGGTTCTTTTTGAACATCTCAATCGAAGCTGCGGCTGCTAGAGGGGGGTACGGAACTGAGAGATATGAGACTATCAATCTGCAGAAGAAGGTCGGGAAGCTATTTCTCTCCTTGACTGAGCTGAAGGGCAATGAAGATATGAGGGTTGTTGATGCGGGCAGAGGGATAGATGAGATATCTCGGCAGATCCGGGAAGAAGTGCTACAGACGATGGCCAAAGTTGATTCTATAGGGCCACTGAGGAAGCTTGACGCTTTGGTGTTTACGGAGACGGAAGACAAAGGTTCTTCATAGACGACACAAAGAGGAGCAGTATCATTCTACTATATCTACATCATCCCAGTCGTCAATTTTCCCTTTCCCGGGCGTGTTTGATATTGGTTGGTGCTGCCGCCGGTAATCGACATTTAAGTCATTTTTTGACGTTGAAGGTCCAAAGTCGTCATCTTCACTACTCAGAAGATCGATGGGACTTTGAACCCTGGCATCTTCGCATAGTTCGTCCCCTGCTTCATCCTCCTCTTCCAGTGAATCCTCATTGTCGAATAACCCTGTCCTGTGGCTGTGAATTCGGAGTGTCATTTCTCTCATCAGGATATGCCATTCAATGATTGATTCACAGCCTGGACACCTTCCACTCATTGGAACAAGGTCATTGCTAGAATCCTCGGATCGTATAAATCTAGAAGAGAGACACAAGAGGTGTGAGGCGCACCGACACATTTCAGAGGAGCAGACTACGACGAGATCATCGTTCAGCTGCAGACGGCTTCGGCAGACACCACAATCAAGTCTATCTCCAGCATCCAGCAGGAACTGAGTCTTCTCTCGGTACGACCTCAAGTTCTTCCCCGAAACATCGAGTTTCCGAAGGGTATTTTGAAGTGGCAGACCTTCCCCAGATAAGGCTCCATCATCAAAATCAGTCTTGAAGCTGATATGTTCCGGAACAAATGTACTGGCACTCTCGGCCCAGCCTCGCCAGACACGATGAATATCTGCATTGAAAAACCGCACTTGCAAGGGCCAGCTTGAAAAGTATGGTGAACGCAAAAGAACATGTAAACGCGCCATAGTGCTTGTCATTGACTCCCGGGGGTTGCTTGACTTTGTAGCCAGGCGTCTTCCTGTTTTTGAGCATATTCGAACATTAGTTTCTATCTCATCGTTGACAGCATGACGAGAGGCTTGTGTGTTCTGCCACGCCCATCTAGCATATATACGGTCAGTTCAATTACCCAAAACACGGCTGAGCGAACTACCAATACCGACATACTCGAACTGTAGGGCCGCCGTACGACTGGTAAAGCCACTGACTATCATGACCATCTCCCACGGCCGCAGCTTTTCTCGGTGGGTTCTGTGTGCCCCTCCCTTGATGCGGCCGTTATGCTGCGCAAGCCGACGACCAGGGTTGGGAGTCGACCCAATGTAGAGACTGGCATGACGCACAGTAGAGCGAAGCAGATACACGCAGTAGAAGGGTGGTATGCCCTTCGCGGACTCCCTGCTGTTGCCTGGAGCTGGACTCGATTGGGATCTCCGTGGCATGAGAATGTAGGGTATTTCGGCGGTTGAAATTAATGGTGTATAGCTAGCGATCTAGGGAATGTCCATGAATAAACCCAAAAAAATAACATGTAGTTACATAGTCTGTAACTATTTTAATATCATCATCTCATCGTTAACTAATTATGTTGTTTTGCCTTGTTGTTTATGTTGTGTTGCTGTTTAGTTATATCAAGGGCCGGGCGCAAACAAATGGTCATGTGACACAAACGGGGCGAACAACATGACTCGAGCTTTAAATGGCATCAAAATCCTGCAGAAAGATGTAACAAGTGGTACTCTGTAATCAAGGGCCGTTTCTGAGCGCGGTTCTTAGCTTCGACAAGCAAGGCAAGCTTCTCGGCGCTTCACCCGTGGGACTTTTGCTCGCTTTCTCCCGCTGGGACCCTGGCGGACTTGGTAGCCAATTAACTAAACGTCCCAGTCCCAAGTCCGGCCCCGGAGCGGAAGACGTGAGGTGATGGTTAGGAGAAAGTCGGAGCAAGTCAGAAGGAGGGAAGACGGCTCCAATTGGCATGAGATTATACTGCATAAACCTGTGCCACTGGCTCGCCAGCCTTTGCCCCGACCATTTCTCAGACATGCTGTCCGTACGGAGTACCCTGCACTCGGATAGCTACCCTGGTGTCATATGAAGGCGTTGTAGAAACTAATTCTGGCAGCAACCCCAGCAGTCATTAGTAGGCTAACAACGAGCGACTCCGTAGTTCGTTTTAAGGAGCTGTCGAGCTCTTGAGGATCTCTCGATAACTATATGCCTGCTCCACATGGCCAGCCGAGGCTAAGCAGGGCGCCAGAAGGAGAGAAATGAGACTCGCCTTTGCGCTGCAAACACGGTTGAATGTTGTCACTCGTCGCCATCGTCATCGGATCAACTTTCACTAGCAGCATTACGGAGTATTGTATCATCATTATCTTCTTCGTCGTCGCCGTCGTCTTCGCCCTTTTTTTTTTAGTGTTCAAAGCTTAAAATACAATGTTAAAAGTCAACCCAAAATTACGAATTACATGACTAATCGGTAACACTGTGACATGACTAAGCAGAGGCGCCTGCAGAAAATCCATCGCCGACCTTCGACTTTCTCGACTTTCTGACCAAAAACCCGTCGATGAAGCATCGTCGACTCTCCACGCCCGCGACCCTCGATGCTATGAGACCCCAGACCCGGTCCAGCCTGTCCCTCCGCGACCGTTGACCGACCTGGGACCGCCGGAACGTCCCTCAGTGCGCCATTCGATCCTCGCAGCTGAGGAATACACAGCAACCTGCCCTGCTCTGCCCTTTTCCCTTCTTCTCTAGAGTTCGGGTACCCAGGATCGCTCCTAGGGCGTCATTTATATAGGACCCTCGATATAATATACCTACGGCCAGCATATCCTTCGCCGCCTCTCGCCCTCGATTCCCTTCTCTATAGCCAATGCATTCGCGATACACCCTCTATATATTATTACAGCCGTGACGAAATCCCGATCTACCCTCCTCCCCTCCACTCTGCAGCCTCCCTCTACAAGCCTCCCTCATCTCCCACAATTTGATAATGGCGGTTGCCACTTCATCTGAGGGCCATAATGCTGGCCAGCAGCCCCAGACACATACACAGCAGCAGCACCAGCTGCATCATCAGAGCTCACACTCGAACGGCCGGTCGTCGATGCAGTCAGCTAGTGCTACAAGCTCATACGGTGTGAATGTGCCGCTGAGTGCTCGACGGTCCGCACCGTTGGACCTATCTACCGTCGAACGCCGTGAACAAGTCCCAGCTACTCGAGATCCCCCAAAACGCAACAGGCCTCATGACCTACAAGAAGCACCGACCTTCTATCCAACAGAGGAAGAGTTCAAGGACCCGATGGCCTATATTCGAAAGATCTCTCCTGAAGGGCGGAAATACGGTATCTGCAAAGTCGTCCCTCCACAGTCATGGAATCCAGCTTTTGCCATCGACACGGAGGTATGAGCGAATAGTCTTTTAATCCAAGCGTTTTTTGGAAGAAAGGAATAGATGATATACACGTAGTTGCATGATGCTGACACGTTCTCATTTCTTCTTCTTAGCGATTCCACTTCCGTACACGTCGACAGGAGCTCAACTCCGTTGAAGGAGGTATGCAACACTCGCTTTTAGCCGATTATCGTGACCTACAAAAAGACATGAATGTTTAACCCTTCTTTCTAGGCACTAGAGCAAACCTCAACTACCTCGACCAATTAACCAAATTCCACAAGCAACATGGCACCAGCCTTACCCGATTTCCCAGCGTGGATAAACGACCCCTCGACTTATACAAACTGAAGAAAGCGGTTGAAATAAGAGGCGGATTTGAACAGGTCTGCAAGCTTAAGAAATGGGCTGAAATCGGACGTGACCTAGGTTACAGCGGCAAAATCATGTCGTCTCTATCTACTTCGCTCAAGAACTCTTACCAACGATGGCTACAACCTTATGAAGAGTACCTTCTTGTCGCAAAACCCGGAGTCCAGCATCAGCTTGAAGTTGAGAATGGTGGACCTTTCGCTTCATCTCCAAATCAGTCCCCAGCCGAGAAGAGGAAACATCCAATACAGAATGGCCACCGGACGCCTTCGGACTCTCGCGCCGAAGATAATTCCTCAACGCGGAGAGCATCCACAGCCCCTAACACCTCAACCGTAGATGTTGAGGAGGGCAGCGGTAATGCAGCTGAAACTCCTCGGGAAGCTACACCAGCGCCTGTGCAGCAGCCAATCTCTTCTGGGTTCACAGCCGTAAACTCCCGACCAAGCGGGTTTGCGGCGATCAACATGCCATCTTCGTTTACAGCAGTCAACAGAGCCGCTCCCGAGGTCAAAAGGGAATCAGATGAGACAGCAGGCAACTCTTCTCATGCAAATTCCATTCCCGCCTCTGGAAAACCGTCCCCTGAGCAGAAACGGACGAAGTCCAATTCAGCGCCCCTTACCAATGGGCAAAACGGCCACGATGAGCATTCCCTAAAACGCGTTCATAGCAGTGGCGGTAACTCCCAAACTGAAAACGACGATTCTGAAGAAGGGGGTAACGGTAGACGAAGCAAGCGTCTAAAGAAAGGTACGTCGAATCGAGTTTTTCCATCTATCCTACGTTTTCAGTATCTCAACGTGATACTAATAGTATCAGCTATAGATGGCATGCCCAACGTTGCGGGATCTAACTTGAATTTATTACGACCATCTCCTTCTCAGCCAAAGTCTAAAAACGGAACCTGTAAAACTGGAGATGTGAGTCAATCTATATTGGGCTTCCCAGAACGTTACCGTACCATGAAGCTAATACCATTTTAGAAATGCGAAAGCTGCGGCAAGACTGATAAAGAGTCTACGATCCTTGCATGCGATGGCTGTGACGTCGGTTATCATATGCACTGCCTTGATCCCCCTCTTACAAGCATCCCAGACTATGACTGGCATTGTCCCAAATGTCTAGTAGGAACTGGGGAATATGGCTTCGAGGAAGGCGGTATATACTCGTTGAAACAATTCCAGGAGAAAGCCAACCAGTTCAAGAAGAATTATTTTGGCTCGAAGATACCCTTCCAGGCAACTTCTGCGCCAACTCCACAACTATACGAAGCCGAAGACAGCGTCGAACGTGAATTCTGGCGACTTGTCGAGAGCCTAACTGAGACAGTGGAGGTTGAGTACGGGGCCGATATTCATTCGACAACACATGGCAGTGGCTTTCCTACGGTTGAACGAAACCCCCTTGATCCCCACGCGACTGATCCATGGAATCTAAATGTACTCCCTTTACACCCAGAATCACTGTTCAGACATATCAAGTCCGATGTTTCTGGCATGACGGTTCCATGGGTTTACGTCGGCATGTGTTTCTCGACCTTCTGTTGGCATAACGAAGACCACTACGCGTTTTCAGCTAACTATCAGCATTTCGGCTCAACTAAGACGTGGTATGGAATCCCAGGAGCTGATGCTGAAGCCTTCGAGGAGGCTATGCGACAAGCTGTTCCGGAGCTGTTTGAAACTCAACCTGACCTTTTATTCCAACTGGTTACTTTACTTCCACCAAATCAGCTGAAGAAAGCTGGTGTCAATGTCTATGCCTTGGATCAAAGAGCTGGTCAGTTCGTGATTACATACCCACAAGCCTATCATGCCGGGTTCAACCACGGATTCAACTGCAACGAGGCTGTGAACTTTGCACCAAGCGAGTGGGAGCCATTCGGCCAATCTGGAGTTGACCGGCTGCAGGAATTTAGACGACAACCTTGCTTCTCGCATGACGAAATGTTACTGACTGCTGCTAGCAAGGATACGTCTATCAGCACTGCGAAGTGGCTTGGTAAGGCGTTGCGGCGGATGTGTGATCGTGAAATGGAGCAAAGAGCGAACCTCCTAGCGCGGTCTCGAGAAGCTGATAATCGAAATGGTATTCAGAATGGAGACCAGAGTGCCAAACCTGCTGATTTACCAGCGTTGCCCGTTTCTGTGGAGGAGGCTGATCTCCTTGAAGACGAGTATCAGTGCAGCTATTGCAAGGCCTACAGCTACCTTTCTCTTTTCCGATGCCACAAATCTGGAAAGCAGCTGTGTCTAGTGCATGCCGGAATAACGGAATGCTGCGGCAGTGAACCAGCCCATTACTTGCGGGGACCTGATCATTCAGTCCGATATCGACTATCTGATGAAGATCTGCAAAAAATCGTTCAAAAAGTGGAGGATCGCGCCAAGATTCCCGAAGCTTGGGCTGAAAGACTAGACAGAATCCTGGAAGATGAGCCGAAACCATCTCTCAAAGCTCTTCATGCTCTACTCTCAGAGGGAGAAAAGATACCATACCATCTTCCTGGGCTGCAAGATCTCTCTGTCTTTGTACAGAGGTGTGACAAGTGGGTTGAGGAAGCGAACAACTACTTAACTCGCAAGCAACAAAACCGACGTAAAAACGAAAAGATCTGGCGGAAGGGGAACCCAGCCAAGGCTGCACAGATGGAAGAAAGAGACCGTGAGCTACGCAGTATCGAGAAAATTCATAGCTTGCTTACAGAAGCGGACCGTTTATCATTCGATTGTCCTCAGATAACGGCCCTGCATGAAAAGGTCCAGGAGATCGAGCGCTTCCAGAGAGACGCCCAAGCCGTTTTCATCAGTGCACATACCGCGTCTGCTCAGGCTGTGGAGGAGCTAGTCGAACTAGGCCGCAACTTCTGCCTTGATATCCCAGAGGTAGACAAACTGGAACGCGTCTTGCAACAGATGAAATGGAACGAGGACGCGCGACGCCGGCGTGAACAGTACCAAACACTCGAAGATTGTGCGGATTTCATCAAGCAAGCCGAAGAATTAAACATATCCGAGGCTAACAACCACCTTCTATATTTCCGTGAAATGTACTGCAGCGGGGTCGCATGGGAAGCGAAAGCAAAGGAACTCATGTCTGTAGAGGCAGTTCACTACCAGCAACTGGAGGCCCTTTCCGCACAGGCTGCTCGATTTCCGGTCTCACCAGACACGCTTGCTGCAGTCGACGCGATCCTCACAAAGCAACGTGAAGCTCAGAGGCAGATTTCTACCATGTACGAGAAAAGCAAATCAAGCGATTTTCGCGAACGTCCACATTACCGTGACGTACGCGATTTGATGGAATCATTGGTACAGTTGAACAGCAAGCCGAATGGCACTATCGACCTCGAACGTGAACAGAAACGTCACGAAGACTGGATGAGAAAGGGGAAGAAGCTGTTTGGTAAAGCCAATGCTCCCTTGCACATTCTTAAGATGCATATGCAGTACGTTCAAAAGAGAAATTCGTACTGCTTCGATCTTGACGACCGGTTCCGCCCACCAGTTGAACCTGCTTCTCGAGAGGCCACTCCCGATGGTTCTGGAGAGTCACAACCCTGGGCTGGCAGTCGGTCAAAGAAAAAAGATGTCTTCTGCATCTGTAGGCAGCAGGAATCCGGCTTAATGATTGAGTGCGAAGTCTGCCATGAATGGTCAGTTTAATAATTTACATCCCTTCACATACTCATCCCTTCTCTCTCGCTCTTTGTTTTTTGTACTAACTGTCGAAACAGGTATCACGGAAAATGTCTCAAGATTGCCCGTGGTAAGGTGAAGGAGTACGACAGCTACACCTGTCCTATATGTGACTGGCGCGTTAAGATACCTCGCGATGCTGCTCGCCCAAAGCTGGAGGACTTGCTTGAATGGCAGTCTGAACTCTCTGATCTTCCATTCCAGCCTGAAGAGGAGGAGATCTTGACTTCCATTATTGACCAAGCAACATCATTCCGTGATTTCTTGCGCCCATTCACGAATCCTGCATGTATGACTGCCGAGGAGGTTCCGACACAGATTTTTTACCTACGCAAGATTGAAGGTGCAGAAGTTCTCCTTGCCTATGAAACGAATTACTTCCGCCAGGAAGTTCATAAATGGAATCCAGTGGCCCCTGAACCGCCACCGATTCTTGAACAATCACTTTCCACTCGCAAACCACGACCGACCAAACAACAAAAAATCATGGCCCAGCTTGGTATCGAGAAACCAGAGGACATCCCCCTTCACCTGCGAACAAAACACCATATCTTCCCGTCGAAACGCAAGTCCATTGAACCTCAAAATGGACGGCCACCACCCCTCCAACCAGCATCGTCAAACAGATCTAGTACTCCCGTGGATAACCCACGCTCTGTTTCGGTTGGTACCGACCAGGTTCCATCATCCATGGCCGCTACTCAAGCACCTCAGACACCTGCTTCTTATCCGTTCAGCCATCCATTCCAACTTTCGTCCAGCGAACAGAATGCCACATTCGGAGCCGGTTCTGGCCCCTTTCTGACCCAAGAAAATGGCGACCAATCGCCCTCATTCTCACCCGGCTCCCCTGCCGCTAGGCACTCCGGACTCGATCCTTCGTTCTTTAGTCCTCCAAGCTTCGAACGAAGCCATCAGTTGCCTCAAGGCTCGGAGTCTGAGAATATGAAGGGCAATACTGGTGTTGGTGTAGATGATGTCGATGCTCACAACCCATTCGGCAGCAGCCCTCGTGCAAACATGGATGAATTATTCGCCGACTTGACGAATCATGATAACGAGCCCGAGCACGTCGAAGAGATAAGTCATGCTAATGAAGCCCTTGAAGCTCTCAAGAGCGCCCAAGCCTGTGGTTCCCGCACTGGCTCGATTTCCGAGCCAGGAAACAACGGCACCAACGGAGACCCGGATCTTCATCAAAATGCCAGCCACCACAGTGACAACGAACATCAGAACGGCGGTGGCCTAGGTGAAGAATATCTAAGCTGAATTCTTATCTGATCTCTAGGCTATTCCCGTTTCTATCCTTATGACTAATGTTTATCCCGTTTACTTTTACCTCCTCATCCTAGATTAATGCTTTGTTTTCGTCTTCGTTTTCGTTGTTTATTCTTAGATGGTTCTTTCTCTGATGAGTTCGAAACATTGCTCGCCTATTTTTTTTTTTTTTTCTTCTGCTTTTTCGGAAAAGGCTGTCATATACACCGGAGGAAATCAACAGGGAGTCATCAAGGAGTCGAAATGGGAGGGATAGGTCGGCGTACCTGATATCATTATTCTGTTTACCCCATATTTTTCCATCTACATGCGCCTTTCTATCATCATCCCGCGTTTGTTTTTGCTTTTCCATCCTTTAAGTCTCCCCGGTGGGTGATGAAGCATCAATGCTTTAATGCTTTTACATCCCGAGCAGGATCTGAGTCGATATATTCCACCATCTTGTTGTGTTTACGTTAATTGTCTTGTTTCCTATCCTTACTGGCAACTGATGTCCATTTCATAATATCATGTATTACCCCCGTCAGTCGCCATCATCGTTCACTGCTCCTTCTGTCTGATCTTCTCATGTATCCTATGTAACTGCGCCAGCTAATGTAACAATATATGGATTATTCTTAATACTCCCTAATACCCAACGCAGCCTTTAGCAAACTCTCACTTGATCACGCATACCAAGTATGTGTGAGGTTTTCTTTTTGCACTATTACAAGGTTCTTCCTATAGCTGGTATATTTGAAGTACTCCGAAATCCATCAGCCAAGTACCAGTGTCCAGAGGAGTTCATCTCCCATGTGAATGTCATAATTAGGACTCCGATCAATGGTTATTAGGCGCCGGACAGGTCGTTCATTGGTTAACTAGGAATACAAATTAGTTAGTTAGCCGCGATGCCAAGAATTCTTCAATTCCATTGATCAAGTTTCGACCCTCGACTGTTCCAAGGTTCGTTTCACCAACATCACTTATGCTTCGAACAATTTCAACAGAAATCCACCTATACATAAAATAAAATGACTCTGGATAAGAACCGCCAGCGAGGCCTTGGTTTACTCCCGTTTTTGAAGAAAGCGGTCCAGCACTTGCGGGCATCTCCTTCGGCAGCTAAAATACCGCGCACATACGTTCTCGGCAACACCTCAGCAGATCTAGATTCAATTATCTCTGCAATTATATATTCTTACTTTGCATCTTCAGCGACATCTGAAAGAGGGCTCCAATATATACCAGTGATAAATTTACCAAAAGTCCCAGCAGGGCGAGAATTGAGAAGGTTACGACCAGAATTCGTAACAGCATTGAACCTTGCTACCCAACGGCCATTGAAAACTGCGCAGAATGAGGCCTCCAAGGGCTTGAAAACTTTACCTGAGGATGAAGATACCGACAATATTCTCAGTGAAAGCATTCTGACGGTTGCATCGCTAAGGGATGAGCTACTGAATTGGAAACCATCAGACGACAAAAAGGCGATATTCATAAATATTATTATGGTGGATTGGAATGCATTACCCAAGATTTCACCTCATACGTATGGAATTCCCGGGGTTTCAGACAAGGTCGACGGTATCGTTACGTCCGTGGTGGGCTGTATAGATCACCATGATGATGAGGGCTTCATCTCAAAGCATCTAGTTCCAGGACCAGGGACCCGGGTGTCACATATTCAAACTGGGGTGGGGAGCTGTACATCCTTAGTTGTCTGTGAGCTTCGAAAACTCGGATGGTGGAGAGACGTTGCCGATGATAATAAAACAATTTCCGAAGGACACACTCTTGGTGACAGTGATGCGGAATTCGAATCACAGGCTGCACAACTTGCTCTGGCGGCTATATTAGCAGATACTGCGAATATGACAAACGAGAGCAAGGTATCCGATGTGGATCGAGAAGCCGTGAGATTTTTAGAAAACAAAATAAACCAATGCAAATCTATCAATTGGGACCGCGGCAGATTCTACGACCTCATCATGGATGCCAAATCTTCCAGCGTGGATTACCTGACGGCCCACGAAACATTGGGAAGAGACTATAAAGAATGGACAGACACTATTGAGCCCGGCCGTAATATAAAGATCGGGATATGCTCTGTTATCAAGCCGGTGTCTTGGATTCTTAAAAAATGTGGATCAGAGTATTCTGAAGAGGAATATGACGAGGAAGCATTCTTTGATGTTCTGCGTTCCTTTTCTAGTACCCGAGGCCTTGACGTCGTTGCCGTTATGACTGCGTTTTCATCTTCCTCTGAAAACGAGTTCCGGCGTGAATTGGTTGTCACAGTACTGAATGACGAGTATATTTCTAATCTCGGAGAATTCGAGGACGCTGGTGCCGACTACCTTCGTCTTGAGAAGAGGCCGTTCCATGAAAAGAATAAGGATCTGGGTCAAATAGGTCGAAACACGCGTGTATGGCGACAGTTAGATGTTACAAAGAGTAGAAAACAGGTAGCTCCTTTGCTGCGCCGGGTGTTTGCAGGGGAATCCTGAATCAAGAGGCTGAAATTTGGACTTGAAGAACCGTTTCATATTATAATGCCCATATAGAATTCTATCATCACATAAGGCGAAAACATGTCAACATGAAGTCGTTCATAACAGATAGCCCAGAATGTAGAGACAAGAAGTAGAGTGAAAGTAGTCCAACCGCGGCTGTTTTAAGAGAAAAAAAAAGGTGACATAGAAAATAAAAGCCGAATTTCATCAGTCTCAAGACAGTCATATATGAGCCGCACCAGTGACAGTAAAGTATGTGACTTCGAAAAATAAAAATAAAAATATAAATGCCAGAAAATAAGAAACGCTCAAATACTGTAGTACATTAAGCCCCTTATTAACTCTAAACATAAACCGGGTATAGTTCGTATGCACCAATCGCCGAATAACCGCCAACATTATATGAGCAAGGACCTAGAAATCAAAAATAAGTGGGCAAAAGTCTGTCAGTGGAGTGCATAGTGGAAAGGGAGGAAGTAATGGTGGTATCAGAAGCACTCCCACTCGCCCCAAACACACCACCTTGCGGTACGGTCAGCGAGGACCAGCCCTCTCCAAACACCACGCTCGCTGACCTTGATGACTGTCTCCCAGACACTACCATCTGGAGGACCGTCAAATCCAGAATCGGCACCGGAGCTTGTAGTGATCATATGGTCTGCTTTTCGACTCAGCCTTAAAATTTTCCCAGATGGTGTTTGTATAGCCAATTTTGCTGGTTTTTCTCGAGAATTTTGCTGTTTATAGTTGTTCGAGACAGTTGAGGACGTAGTGGACGCATTGGATATGGTCGCAACGGAAGACACCATACTTAACGCACTGGACGGCCTAGCAAAAGGGTTTGGCGATACACGTCCACTGGGCTCCTCCGCTTTGGGAGATGATGGTAAAGACGAGGGGTGTTGGCGGACAGCAAAGACGAAAGTATTATTAATGGTAAGTCTTGCGCACTGAGGTTGGATGACATATAGATCGTGTCTTTGAGCATGGGGAGTAGGATGACGGATAACAAATTCGTAGGGGGGGTTGTCTCCAGTGTGAGTGATTGGGAGAGCGAAGGCCAGAGCATGGGGTATATCCTTGATAGAATGCATAAGCCCTTTCTTTCCAGCATATACTTTTAAAACTCCTTGTCCCTCATCACCGGGAAGCGCAGCTTTGATAGTAAATCGCTTCTGTCCCTGTATCCAATCAGGTTGAGCCAGCGCACGCTTGGTAATAATATCACCGCTCTCAAAAACGTCCCCGTCAGCATCACGAGCGAAGGCAATGGCCTCGACCTCTGCGATACACTCAATGTCAGGTGGAACAAGAACCCTAACTTGTAACATTTCCAAATCCGTGAGGCGGACAAGGCTAGTGTCATAAGTTGGCATATGGAGACCATTCTTAAAATACGCGGGACAGGCACATGGTAGTGCAAGAAGGACATCCGGACTAATCGGAGGACATATATGCTGGTGTTCGGGCGCAAGGGGTATATGGGTGTAACATATCTCCATTGGGCGCGCCAGGAAGTACCATGTCTCCGCAGCCTGGGGATTAAAGCTTGAATAGAGTGCTCTCCGTGGGTGGGTTGGGCTGGCAAGTGAACAGTCCATAACCCTCCATTCACCATCGATGAGGACATTGTTCCACCAGTGGTTGACACGTGTATAACCGTCAAATTCCAATTGTTCACCGGGTGTTTTCAGATATCCCTGAACGACTTCAGCATGGAGACCGACAGCATCGCACATTTCCATCACCAAGACAGCCACTTCTCGGGGGCTACCTCGTTTCATTTGAATTACCCTCCGTACATCAACTTCTCCCTCAATTTCATCATCCCATACGATCTTCTCTGCAACCCAAGTGAATATTGCTCGTAAACGTTGAACATCACTCCGATGAGGTCTGCAAACAAAACCTTGAGCCAAGCTCGCTGGGCTTGTCATTGGAGGTAAACTGTTGATGAACCGGGAGCTTTTATCCACAAGTTGTAGATTCACTGCAGCCCAATTGGTGGGTTCCGTTACCGGTAATCCATCCAGCCCTTCATCGCCTTCCGCACATTCATACAGCTCCTCAACTGCATATATGACAGGGTAGTCCATCATCTGGCACCGCTCTGCTCTCTCCACCAGCTCATTGCGGCTGGGAGAAGTTGCACGATTAACATCTCTGCGGACCTGAACCCAGTCATTACCTCCTAGGCCTGTGTCAGCGGTAGTATCTCGGTCCTTTGTTGGAGAAAAGCTTCCAACACCACCTGAAAGAAGCCCCTTGGTTGGAGACAACGAACGAATATGCTGCGCAGTAGCAATACTACTTCGCGCGGTTGCAGCTCCTGTTTTTGCGGATTCGATCATCTTTTTTAAGAAACCAGTCTTCTTTGATTTAGGAGTTGTTAATCCTCCAAAGATACCAGGTGACTCTTCATGCTTATTATATTCAGTCCAGCCAACAGCGGAAGTAGCCCCTTGTCTGGGGTCATCTTGGGGTAGATGAGGATAACTTCCGGATTGAGACGTCATCGGGGTGTACGGTCTTTGTTCCCCAGCGGCATCATCACCAAATCCAGTAAAACCACCTGACCTTGTGCCATCGAAGGACCTAAACATCCCGTGTCTCAGTTGGGACGCCTGTTGATGGCGCTTTGCAAAACTACCAGCACTAGTAGCACTAAATCCGCCTGCAGATGTACCACTCATGAGGCTTGGGTTGGTGGCACTTGTGCTTGCAGTGCTGTGTGTTGTATTGCTTTGGACTCCAGAAGATGAATTTGTAGCAATGGATCTCGTGGTAAATGTCCGTCCAAGAGTATCCCGTCCTGAGTCGTAAGTTAAGCCCCGTGTCCTTGTAATCATTTGCTGCGAGGGTGAATAATTATATTCTCCTCTCCTAGGAGGTGGGGGAGGGGGGTTGTCATCATCTTCTATAAGCATAGGATTCCCTCTGTCAGAGCCTTCTTCTTGGTTGTGCAACTGTCTTAGACGAGACTCCATTCTCTGAACGTAGTTACCAAGCTGCGGAGGACCATCCTGAAAGCGGTCATGGAAACTCTCTGATGACTTATGGGCGAAGTGGCTACCTCGGCGACTGTATTGGCTGTTCCCTAGTCCGAGTGAAGTAGACGGTCGGCCAGCAAACTGTTGACTTGGTGGACCACGTAGATTATCAAATGCTGCGGGCGACCATGGATTGAATGGAGAGGGGGTCCGCTGTGGTTCTGAATGAGGATCATGAGGCATACTCATGCCTTGTAAAGAAGACATTACGTCTTCCATGGCATCCCGCAGTGGAGAAGGTGTATGACGGTGGTGAGTTCCTGGGGAAGGTGGATAGGGCGACGGCGTCCTAGAAGCTGGCTGGAATTCATGGTTTGCTTGCTGATACTGATGGTCATGCATGGAAGATTCGGGCTGTACATATGAAGGTTGTCTTCGAACTGCAATTCTATGTGGCGGAGGGGGCGGCGGAGGAGGTGAAGATTCAGGTTCAAATTCACGAGGCTCGGCTGGTATCATCATCGGTGGTGGTTGCATTGGAGCCAATGCAAGCTGTGGAGTTGGCTGCCGTTCTGGTTGTGGTGTAGGTTGTCGTTCTGGCTGTGGAGTTGGTTGCCTTTCAGGTTGAGGAGTTGGTTGTCTCTCGGGTTGTTGCGAGTTAGCATGTCGAGTGGGCAGAGGCGTTGGTTGCCGTGGCGGCTGGGCAGGAGAGACTGCCCGTGGATGAGCACGAGACGTAGATTTTCGCCGCGGAGTCCTGTTTATGACAGATTTGCGCCCACGTGGAGGTGGTTCGGGCACAGTTGGTGCTTCTGTCTCTTTCTCTGCATTCTTCTTTGCCAGCTCTGCAGAGGGGCCCAGGACCTGCTTGTAACCTTGGAACGGCTTCCTGAAGATGGTCTTCTCCTTTTTGGGCGCATACAACGGGGCATTTGATGGGCTATCCGTTACCGGCGGCAGAGGGCTAACAGAGCGTGTAGCCGGCACAAAGTCATCTTCCAGGACCTTCACAAAGTTCGATGGAAACACACCGACCATGCGCCTGTCGCGTCGTAAACGACCGGTCCACCATGATCCGTCTCCAGCATTAAGACACTCTATCAGATCACCTTCGATAAACCCCAAGTCTTGCTTTGATTCACCTCCCCATGAGTATACTGCTCGGCACCAGCATGGGAATTTGGTCGGCAGCTCTGGTGCCTGAGGCGCCATTCCACCTAGTAACGAACTCGGCTCAACAGCAAGGGAAAAAGTAACACAAAAGAGCAACTCGAGCTATAACCCGATAGAGCGTCTTTAAAGATAGTCGGGGACCCCAAGAGAAACGAATGTCTTAAGCCATAAGAATAGTACGGCCGAAGGGAGAATGGGTGGTGGTAGTGACGGCGTTTGCTGTATCCAGTAGCGCTGTAAACTGGCAAAGAGCGGTGAGATAGAAGAAATCTAACGAGCGTAGATGGCAGAGACGAACACTATGCGGCGCCGTAAAGAGAGGAAGACACCACAGAAACAGTGAAGGGACGTGGATGGTGACGGCGCAGTCCTTCGATCGCAATGTTGTCCTTCGACCGTCGTCGTCCTCTCGTCGCTTGCGATGTTTCTTATTTGCGACTTTTCTTGCTTTGTTGAGCGCGGCTAGGTCACGGGGGCAACGCGGCTGTCGGCCATGTTTACGATTTTCCTCTTCTGGACTAGCGCGCTCTTATCGATAAAGCTCAGCTTTTTTTCGCTTGTTATCAAAAATAGAAGAAACAAGGCAAAAAAAGGGGGGCGAAGGGCCGAGACGGTCTGATAGCTAGCTAGTAGCTAGTTAGCGATCTTGATCGGTACTGATATCGATAGCTGCCGATATCGATAGAGGTGCGAGATAAGAGCTTCAGCTATGGCCAGCCGGCGCAGGGATGGTAAATGTCAGGTCCCTTAGTCACCAGACAGAGCTTGAGGAGGGACATGGTGTCGCTGCTCGCGCAGGAGCATGGCAGCAACCATGATGAATGGGGGAGTTATGCGCCGAATCTCTGCTCCGTGAAACATCTCTGGCATTGATTGATAGTCACTTAAAGCCCCGACTAATAATTAGTCAAAGATCGCTGTTCCAGCCTGATACATCAACAGCATCCGTCTGTTCAGGCCATGTGGTACGCACACACAATACTCCTGATGGTGAAAGGAGTCGCAGCTGGTTCTTTGATGCCCCAAACGGAGGCGAATACTGAATTCCACAGGGGGTGGACCAATATTGTCGGCACAGGTCGACTAGTTATCTGTCAACAACATCGACGACGGCGAAAATGGGAGGAAAAGTTTTCCTTCGGTCTAGCTAGAGTCCCTCCACTCACCACATGATGGACATGCAGCGCCTGCTCTCCTAGGGTAGCACAATCACATCCTTCATAAGAGATGCCGCCGAAATTCGACCGTTTCTCGCTCTGATCGATCATGTTGGACAAAGAAAACATAATTGTTCTCGTTTCGCTCCTGCCAGCCAACCAACCACCCCTGTTTGCATGCAGAATTACACGGCCAAGGCACACCCCGGGGGAGCATAATTTTTTTTCCCTTTCCTTCCCGTCTTTCTATACCCATTATACCCATGGTACGATGCAAGATAAACGGCTTTTCAATAAGGCGGGTAAAACTAGGCTCCAATCAGCCCTAATATAGCCCATGTAATGTACCCGATGCGAAAAACATGCTACCATACAATCATGCATGGTGCCATCACTGCAGGGGGACATATGTCAACGTCGCCAAGTTATGCAAGACCAATAACCAACTTCTTTCCTTTTTATCCTGTTAGCCAATTTCAAAGGAAACCGCTTAGGCTCTTGTTTCAAAAGTTGCAATTGCCGTCAACAATACTCAAAAGGTCATGGGCTAGCTATTAACCTACTTCTCCAGACAAAAAGACTCGCCGGTATCATTTAACTGCAAGTTAGTGGTATATAAAAAAGAAAAGAAATGCAATGGGCTAGCTGAATGGAAAATTGAGCCCATCTCTGCTGGAAAGCAATCCCGAATACTTCTACCAATTGGCCTAGGGACCCTTGCGTCTGAAAGCACCATCTGTGGCCAGCAGAGCTAGGTATAATCGCACAACATGTGATAGTAGCCTATGTGAAGATGCAATTTCATACCCCCCCTGAAGCTCTATATAATATCCAAATATAGCCGGCAAGATATATAACACATCTCCCACATCTCCTCCTTCATCCCCTTTGGCGTGGATTATACTCGAACGCCAGCCATCATATCAATTCAATAGTGGCTGTCAGCCGGTCACACATACATGTCTATCCTTTTGGGCATGATTTCTTTTTGCCTCCAACGGAATGAAGGCGGATATCACAGCTCATGTACGTGGGGGTATCCAAGAAACTGAACTGACATGCGCCAAGTGAGGTACTGAGCGGCACCAGCATGAATTTGCTGGGCCAACTAATCCGGCCCGTCTTTCTTTGCAGTCGTGCATGTCTACAGCTTTATAGTCCTTGTTCCCCCTCCCATAACAGTAGTCGGATGCTCCTTTGTTGTATACATATCCCTTATATATACTGGATTCTGCCTCCCCTCGACTTCTGCCTGTTGATTTCCCTGACAAATCCTGCAATATAATATACAATCCACTCTACAAATCACCATGGGTCCCTTGCCGTCTCTTTTCTCTTCCGAGTCGAATGATTCATGGAAGAAGTCCTCTGTTGCTACCTTTGGAGAATTCGTTGGGACCTTCATGTTCCTCTTCCTCTCCTATACAGGATGCCAAATTGCCAATATGTCCGTGGATCCCAAGGATTCTGCGCCTGAACCTAACCCTACTGTTCTGCTATATATATCGCTCTCCTTCGGTACCGCTCTTGCCATCAATGTTTGGGTATTCTATAGGATCACAGGAGGGATGTTTAACCCGGCGGTATGCTTTGATCGGTTCATTTATCTGGTAAATTCGAGTGTTAATCCTTTGAGATAGGTATCCCTGGCTCTCGCTTTGGTCGGAGCTATCAGCCCTATCCGAGCAGTAATGGTATCTATTGCCCAGGTTGTTGCCGGAATTGCTGCCGCTGGAGTTGTCTCTGCCCTCTTCCCTGGACCCCTGGTTGTCCAAACTAAGCTTGGAGGTGGGACTACGACCACACAGGGACTGTTCATTGAAATGTTCCTAACCGCTGAACTTATAATCACCATCCTGATGCTGGCTGTTGTGAAGCACCGTGCAACCTTCCTTGCTCCGTTGGGCATTGGATTGGCTCTTTTCATAGCGCAACTTAGCGGTTAGTCAAGAACCGCATATATGCCCTTGCTTTTCCTGAACTTCTACTAATATAGAATGTTGTTACCTAGGTGTTTACTTCACTGGTGGATCTCTCAACCCTGCCCGTTCCTTCGGCCCAGATGTTATCGTAGGAGGATTTCCTGGATATCATTGGATTTACTGGGTTGGCCCCTTGCTGGGATCTTTGCTAGCAACTGGCTTTTATCAAGCTCTCAATTTCCTACGCTATCAGAACGTCAACCCTGGTCAAGATTTTGATGGCATCGGATCCGAACTCATGGGAAATCCTGAGCGCTCAGAGTAAATTTACTGCACTTGGGCCTTGTCCCATCAATCGGGCGCAAAACTCTTTCTCTTTGTTTTCCCTTGAACTCTCATACTGGTGATTATACTGGTCTTTTTTTAAGAGTATTCTGCCGGCTTTGAGCATTTTAATTATTAATACCGTTATTCATCTCGTGTCAATTTTCAGCTCGACCAAATCTCTAGTTACATCCTACACATCAGACATTTCGAAAAAGTCTTTAACAATGTGTTATTTGGTAACCATATATGATCTGTGTCACACTCCTTCATGTAGGCCCAAACGGCTGTTGTCACGGTAGTTATGGCTACAAGTTCAGAAAATTTACAAAAAAGAAAAGTAATAATCAAAGTGAAACAGGAATGGCCAGACAATATTGACATGAGTAGCTGGAGGACAGGAAAAAGCCGTGGAAAAGGAAATATACGAATGAGAGAGAGGGAGATGCAAAGAAAAGAAATCCAAGCAACAAACAGCTGTAAACCAAATAAATAAAAGACGCGGTTATACAAAAAAAAAAAAAAAAAAAAAAAAATCAAAAGGAACGTAAACTCCTCTTAGTTTCCTTTCCTTTTTTTTTTTTTTTTTTTTTTTAAGTCTTGTCATTTTTTTTTTTTATTTTTTTTTGTTTATCCTTGCAGACAATTGGTGGACTAGCGTAAGATGCCCATCTTGTCCCAAGAGACATAGTATAATATCCCATTATATTTCAGCCCGAAACTTAAGGGCACTCCCCCGAACAGCCGAGCCGATATTGTTCGGCCCCGGGCTAGATGGCCGGCTAGTGCCGTACTTGGGACTCCGGGGTTGCATACTTGTAGCACGGGTCGACGGGCGGTTCTTTTTCATTTCGCGAATTTCCTCTTCCTTTCTCGTCAAGAGGGTATCTCTCGTGGCCAATAGGGATTCTAACTCCTTAATACGAGCTAGTTGCATTTCCCCATCATTTTTCATTTTCAGTTCTTTAAGCCTGACTGCTTCGCCATTTGCTTTCTTTTCCAGTTCTTGGACTCTTTCCTCAAGCCGACGGGCCTCCATTGCCGACTGTGCAGCTGAGGTGGAGGCATTTTGGTATTGTTGACGGGTATATTCTGTTTGCGAACGTTCCTGTTGGACTGTCCGCTCGAGACTTGCCATAGTCTTTTCAAGCTTCCTGATTTCTTCACGAGATTTTTCCAGGTCAGATTCCAAGCCACCACCAGATTTGATGGTATTCCTTGCCGCTTCCAACTCGGTAACTAGCTCAGCATTCCGGTCCTTTAGTCTTGTTATTTCTTCTTTTTGGCGCTCAAACCTTGTCTGTGACTTTTGAGACTTCTCCCTTTCTATCTCAAGCTCATGTCGAGTTTGATGTAATAGGTTATGTTTCGCTTCATAGCGGTATTGTAGAGCACCAATACTTGCTTCGAGCGTCTTCACTTTAGCTTTGCTATTTGTTAGTGCGTTGCGGAGGGCTTCAATATCAGTGGCAGACTGATTCGTGTGACTTTGTGTAGCGGAAGCGTTGCTATTTTGATCCGTTTGCGTTAGGTCTCTCACTGAATCACTGACATGTGTGATATCCTGAGTCGGCGTTATTCTCTGTCGTTTTGATGGATTGGTGCTATCATTAAGTTCACTCTCCTGATAAACACACCAGTCAATTTATTGTAATTTTCGTATTATAAATGAGAGAGAAAAGAAGCTTACCAGCCATCTCTTTTGCCGTGAAGCATTGGTAGAAGACATTGGATCAAGCTCTGAGCCAGGGGTTTCACCCTGTCCTTCTATCTCCAATGCTTCCATAAACGGAAGCTTCCACGTCCTGGTAGCAGGGTTATCCATGATGTACATCAGAGTTTCTTCAGCATTCTCCTGGACACCAAGAGCATCGTCTTGTAGCTCTCCAGCTGAATCATTGCAAGCCAGTGTGTGTTGTACCAGCAAACGAAGTCTAGTTAATTCAGTGCATTTGGGGAGACATGCCTTGACATGCTCAACAGTATTGGCGATAATTAAACGGACAACCGGGACAAGGGTACTGTGATTGTGAGCAACCCTCAGCTTCTTTACAGGCTCAAGGTTGACGTCAAAGGAGCTATCCAGGGCTATGATGAGAGACGGTGGTCTCGATGCTAGCATGCCCCGCTCGTCGGTAGTCGACCGTACTTCGAAGCTGACTTTCTCTTTGCTGAAAACAGCAGGAGAGTCTCCGTGTTCGCCTCCTGGGAAAGGTGCTTGATTAAAATTCTTGCCCATCAAGTAGCGCTTGACTACATCAACGGTTCTCCCTGGCTTCGCCATTATGATAATGTGTAGGTCAAGTTCATTAGAGGCGTCAATAAGGTAACCAAGATATTGGAACTTTGAGCTCGAGTATTCAGCCCATAAAGCTTCTTTAGCTGTATCAGGAGAAGCCCCAGCGGCCTGACTAGCGATGTTGATATCAGGGTGTGTCGTAATATTGTCAAGTTTCTCGACTAGAGTTGCCATTCTAGTGATCAGTCCCTGGCTCTGTGGAAAGGCAAATGGTTAGAGAATTCAAGCAAAGTAGGCTGGGAACATAAACTTACATCTCCTTCAAGAGATCCCATGTCACTCGACTGTGGCGATGATTCCAAAAATTTTTCCACATACTTGTTCTCACCTTCCAGGGTATTATCGTATTCATCCTTCACTCGACAGTCCATAGACAGCGGTATGGCAAATTCCATCTCGCTAAGAGTCAGGACATTGACTTCCAGTTCCAATGCATCCTGGTTTTGCTCTTGCGGGCTAGATGCATCAAACTCGGTAGTCTCCGTTTGCACGGTTGACTCTAGAGCCTCAGGAACGGAAGTAACCTGCTCGACATTGTAATGCAAGGCTTGAGGAGTGACGAATGGAATAGGCACAGAGCTTGGTGCTTCGTTTCCAATGGCATTCGCAGTATCTTTGTCCAACTGTGAGTCGAGAGGTGAGATGATGTCTGACGCATTTGGTGGCGCAGATGGCAAGATATCTCCGGCAGAAGACGACGTCGTACTTTGAGGAAGGCTGTTAAGGGGCTTCGTAATAGCACGATCGCTGTCCCACAGTTGCTTCATTTTCTCAGATACACTAGTTGCCCGTGTATGACGCTCTACTTCTTCGGTATTTGCCGAGGTCCCGGAAGCATTGCTATCAGGCGCTGAACTATTCATGGTTACCGATGCCGACAAGCGATTAGGATGATGTTGGTATTCTAGGTTACTGCTTTTTGGAATCACTTCGCTAACTGCCCTCTGAAGAGTCCCGTTGTCGTTTCTTGAGCGAGAACTTGCGGTAGCTAACAGCGATTCCTCAATAAAAGAACGAGACAGTGACGCCTTATAATACCTGTGCTGATCAACCGCACCTTGGTATTCTGACTTCGGAATTAATTGGCAAGATTCAGTCACCGTATTATAATTGATGAACGGTGTCTGAAATTCTAAACAAACGTAAAGTCAGTTAATCAGATACTCATCTAAGGGGTGGCTATGCTTACCAGGGAAGCTTTGATCAGTGACCCTACGGCTTATTGGACTGTCGATTTCAAAGCCTGGTTCACCTACTTGATGGGATAGTCCCTCCAACCTATCCAGAATGGGCAATTGAGAGGGCGGGGTTTCCAGCACTTCAGGACCGATAAACCGATCACGCAATTTACGTTGACTGTGCTCTTTTTCAAGGGAAGTAGAGTGGGTAGTACTACTCGTACTAATAGTACCCTGCGATGGCTGGTAAGTACGTGCTAGAAATTCAAGATTCTGCTCCGTGTCCTGGTGAAGCTGTTGCGGAGGCGATCCACGTGTAGAAGTTAGCGTTCGCCCACGTAAGGCGTATGAACTGGCAGTAGATTCCAGTACCCAGGTAGCAGCAGTGGAATCAGGTATACTGGATTCCTGACTATATTGATAGATGCGCCTGGGTGTTTGGGTATGATACGACGATTGGTTCTCAGCCGAAGCGATACTTGAGCTTCCGCCTACACGGCCAGATGATTCGCGGGATGCCTGGGTGCTTTGAGATTGGGTTTCAGGGCAAAATATACTGCCACTGGAAGCAGTTACTTGGGAAAACGAGGGATTGGATGAGTTTGGGTTGGTGGATGATGGCTGTGAGGCCTCAATACTCTGTTGGGTAAAGGTTCCTGGTGATGAAGAAGAGACGAGGTCCAGTGGTTTGCGACGAGGAGTTTGGCAAGCTCTCCTTGGCCTTTGTTCCTTGTACTGTTTTGCAGAGATATATCTTTTCTGCTTTTCAACCTCCCAAGCACGCACAGCCGCGTAACTAGCGCAGCTCTTTGGCTCCTATAACCAAAAGCGTATGTTCAGTATAAAAGAAAGAGGTTTCAAAATTGCTGAGGGCACGAAATAAATAAAGAAGCATCATAGACAATACGTCAATATATATATCTTCGCCTCGTCGTAGGGGAAGCTCTTCAAATGGCAAGCTCACTCACCCACGTCGGTTCGAATGGGCCCTCCCACGCGATTAAATATTTGCCACCAGACTCGTCAAGTATAAACTTGATTGGGTATTCCTGGCTACTGTAGACTGACTCTTTCCCGGGTAATTGAGAGGGCGAATAATTTTCTAGATGCTGGCTGGCCGCAGTGCCACTGTCCAATGCTTGCGAACTGGAGCTGGATGGAGTAGTAGTACCTTTGGCTCCGGGACCCATCTTAGACTGCCGAACAGTAAAAGGAAGCCATTTTCATATAAGCAGGAAACTAGAAACTCGAGCTCTATAGAAAGAAGACAGCTACCAGTGGCTCTGACGGTATGGCATTGCACAGAGGAGCCCGGCTAGTTATGCGACTGGAGAGAGAGAAGAGAAGATGTTTTAGTGTTATGCATCCATGGGAGTTCTTAGTTAGTTGAACCGAGGGTCACGTGGTGTTATGTCATGGGCTAATTAGTGGCCTATTTAATTATCACAACCGGGAAGCAATTTTGACTAACTAGTTAACTAATTCATGAACTAATTCACTAGTGGGCGGGCTAGTTCGGGGCTG